GCTCTGAAGTTGAATTTAGTTTATGTCCTTAGGTATATTTCTGATATATGAGGTAAAATTGATTTTTCTAAAGGATGCCAAACTCACGTTGGTGACTTTGGCACTTGCACTGTTCCTGATATTTTGCTCTGTTGAAAACATTCTCAATAAGGCTGTTTATTTTTGCTACTTAATTTTTAGAGTGTCTCTTTAAATTATAAACCTTAAAGTCGTCCTTTTGCCTCTGTATGAAAGAGGTGGTTGGAACTTGATTTTTACTTTTCTGTGAGGTCAAACAAATCTTGTATGGAAATTACATGTGCTTTATGGATGTTCTACTTAATGCAGAACAATGTGTTTTAATAACTTCCATCCACTTTCAATTAAGGAGAAATGCAAAGATGTGTTATGGTTGGTATAAAATTGGTTGGTTGTTTTTTTTTATGATAAGTAAAATCTTGTTTATTAGAAGTTTACCAGATCTTGTTTTGGAGTCAGTTTGCAAAATAAGTTGCAAATTTCTCTCCCAGTATTTTGAGATAACAGTGCTATTCTCTGTTTCAGAGATTCTGGAGTGATGGTAAAATTGTATCCAAACATGACACCAGTGTTACTCCATAATTCACAGCTTGATCAGAGGAAGGTAATAAATGCTTAAACAAGCGGAGAACAAACTAACAGTCAAGAGTTTCTAGTTTACATCATTTCTCATTAAACCTAGTGTGTATTACCTAGTCTCCACACCTGGTGGAGTTTTGGAGTCTTAGTCTAGCAGCAACTTCCTGTTTAACCTTTGTCCTGTACTAGAGCTGCAAGCAGTCTAACTTTTGAGTGCTATGGTCCTTGCTCTCATGCATTCTATACATTAGCTAGCTGTCCTTTGCAAGGTACATTGCTAAGAAGCTTTCCTTCTGCCTTGTTTGTGAGGAAAATGCACCTGTGATTTCTTCCTTGTCTTTCTATAAGCTGCTTGCCTCTTCCAAGAGACAGTAGCTGTTTCAGGCACCTCATGGTGGTTTGCAGTTCACTGTCAGTGTACTTTAAAACATCATCAGCTTTGTAGTGAGCATATAATTATTCTTAATTCTCAACAGGTGAGACAGGGCAGGTCTGAATTCCTGCCTTGCTGTTGCTGAAATGATAATTTGTATCAATAACAGAATATTTCTTTTCCAGCTACTGTTACTTGGCATTTATGTTCAATTTTTACCATAATGCAATACAAAACCATACGTTGTTCCTTTGGTATATTTTTACAGAAAAAAATCTACTGTAGTTATGAGGATTTTTGCTGTGCTGAATCCCTAAGGAAGGTATTTTTAAAGCAAAAAATAATAATAATAATAATTTGTAAGATTAAAGCATTTTTGTTTTTTTTTTTTTTTCCTGAAAAATACTGTGTTCTAGATCAAACATCCTAGTGCCCTGGGATTAGAAGTTGGACAAGAAATCCAGGTAATTTTATGGACTTTAAATCGACAACAAACTACAATTCATGTATTAGTATTTGTGTTTTTGTGTAATTTCTCTATTTTGTGTTTGTGAAGGAAATACTGTCGGATTATTTTGCTGTGCTGCTTAAATGCCTGATAATTTCAAAAAAAAAAAAATCAGAATTTTTACTGTCATATTCTTGCTATCCCCAGCAGCACATTAATTTGACTGAACAGTATAGACTTGAAGAGTGTCTGTTGTGTGTGATTTTCTTCATTTAAAAAAATAAATAAGGAAAATGTCAGTTCTAGCTCTCTAAGTTGGTCACTCTCGTGTTGTTATTTAATCTAACTTTATGATGTCCGAAGCATTGTGGTGATCTTGAAATGACAAGTTTTCTTAACAGGTTAAATACTTTGGACGTGATCCAACTGATGGTAGAATGAGGCTTTCACGCAAAGTTCTGCAGTCACCAGCCACCACTGTGCTCAAAACCCTTACAGACAAAAACAGTATTGTCCTGGGAGGTACTGCTCCAGAGTCGTCTACTTCATCACAGTGACAAGTAAGGCTACCAGAAATATGAGAGACAGCTCTGTACTGTACCTTCCTTACAAGTACTGTATAGAATTCTATCAGTCTGTCTTTGCTGAAGATTAACTGTACAGTATATGTGGGAATACTGCTTGCCAGCTATGTTACAACTTTTCATAAGAGGCTTGATGTTGTAAATGAGTTCAAATGTCTTGACAGTTTCCTAGACTGTACTTTCTCCAAAACCATCTTATCTCTTAAACATCTATTTAAGTATTCAATCTTCTCTAACCTGCAACCAGAAGTGCTTCTGAATTTGGTGCCCTGGTATTAGGTTACAGAGTATTTTCTATTTCTTCCATTATCTACCAGGGCTTCTTCCTGAAAATATGAGCCATCTTCACCTGGGTCTGCAGATGTCTTCACAAGAATCTGTATATGGATGGGAGTGAACCATATTTTTAAAACATGCTGTTCATGCTTAAAGGTGATGAGGAACTTCAAAGTCTTGAAACTGATTAAAACTGTTCAAAAGAGAACCAGAAACAAGCAGTGCTCTTACCTTGTGTACCATGGGTGAGAGTCGAGGAACGTGGAATTGTATAGATTAAAGAGCAGATTGTTTGGGGTTTTTTTTCCAACAATTACTTCAGTTATCAAGATTTTCTTCTCACTGTCATCTCAAGATAAAAATGTAAAGATGAGAAATGCTGAAAAAGTACTTCTGGGAGAAGGAATTATCCTGTGCATTTGGTCAGAGAGGTATGTTAGCAGTTAAGGCATACTTGGCCAGACCAACTTCTATTGGCTTTTCAGAGTACAAAATTGAGCAAAATATGTAAACTTAAAAAATTATCTCCTTTATCATGACTGATGCTATTTCAGATAAATACATTGATGACTGCCATAGGATTCAGAATTGCTAAAATTGATTATGTTCTATTGTCAGGCTTCCTGATCTTTTGAATTTCAAAATATTTCCAAGGGTCTCCCTAGAACCACTTGTTCTTCTACTGTGAGATACAGATCTTAAAAATCCAAGAGAGATCCGTTCTGATGTACTCAAATTTGTAGAATTTGAAAACCAGGTTTCTAACAGCAAGTGGGCTCTGGACCTTTGAAGGAGGGGGGAAAAAAAAAGAACACTGGGAAGAAGAGAAATGTGAATTTATTGTAAAAAAATTTGTTTTGCTTTTTTTTACTCTAACCTAAAATATTAAAGAAAATGACTCGCCAACTTCCTTTGTAGTCTGTCTTTCATTACGTTGTCTTGCTCATCTGTAAGGGCTGTATTCTTTTATTTCTTAGTAAGAATTATAATATCTTTGCTAACCATGAGCTAGTTAACTTGACTGGTATCCTAGCTGTTAGATTATGTTCTTGATAGTGTTAATAGTGTACTTTTTCAAGGTGTAACTTCTCTTTATTATAGCAAACTTTCTGTAGAGTTCCTTTTTGTAGTGGGACAGTTACTAAAATTCCACACAAAGTACTTAGGAGCTTTTTACTTAGTACTTTGCCTATAAGATGCTTGCATTTGAGTCTGAAAATGAAAAAACGAAGAATGCCACTGTTCCCTGTAAGTGTACTTTCTCACCTGCAGTATTGATGGCTTGTTTGTCCATGTGGTGGTATCACTAACTGAACTATGGGGGTGCTGGGGAATTTGTTCAGAGGAGGGGGGAGGAAGATGTGTATGTTTCCATGGGTGAAACCTCTACAATCAACCTGACTTTCTGCGCTTGTTACAAGTTCTAGGCTCAAAGGGAAGGGGTGGAAGGAAATTTTTCTTGGAAAGTGTCAGGGAGGAGCACGGACCAGCTGCTCTTCTTTGAGGAGTGGAGCTCAGTTGGAGCCAGGAACTGAGTAAGTGTGTGTAAATGAGAACCCTCCTGGAGGGATGGCAGGTTGGCTGCATTTGTCTGGGAGCTGCCCATAGCAGCAGGCTGGGCTGTGGCTGGAGGTGCTTGGCTCTTCCCTTCAGGTTATCGGCTGTGAATCAGAGAGCAGGTGCCTATTTCTTCATGTACATATATCACTATTTCAAACATGTTTTTTTGTCACTACTGATGTAGATAATCAGCTGTTTTAATGATCCATCATCCCAAATGGGGCCATTGAGAAGAATCGCTATGAAAAGTGAAGGTGGGCAAAAACTATACAGTGAAAGTATGGTACTTGGCAGAACTGTGTAACTGATGAAAACTTTTAAAGAAAGTTTAAAGATGGATTTTTAGTGGTTTAGATAAGATTGTTATGGTTGATAACTGGAGAGATTTGGATGGAGTGTTTAGAAGGAGAGGGCATGATTCATTTTACACATTTGCTGGAGTATGAGTGCATGTAGATGTCTTGCAGAGGTAGGAAGGGGGTGGCAGGTATCCTGAGGCAGCAGTGTGCTGTGACCTTTGAGTTTTGAGCTTATTTTAGTGTGTTTCTTTCTATTGAGCTCTCACTTGAGCAGAAATAATCCTGATCTGTAAAACTTTGAGGGTATCAGGCCATATAATGTAGAAATATCCACCAAGTAGTAGCTGGGAAGCCAGCTGCCTTGTGTGTTCTTCATAACATGACTACTCAAACTACTGAGATAACACAACACAGACTTTTCCATATAATTACCAACCTTATAAGATGTGCACAGAAAGAACGTTCAGGATAGGCACACAGAGGTGTATCTTTGTCTGTTGCAAAAGATGGTGATGATTTTATTTTCAGTGGGAGTGCAACAAAACGCACATCGTAGTGTTGGCTTGTGGTGCTGCTGTGACAGAGGAGGGGGGTGGGCGGCCGAAGGAGATGCTGCGCACCGATCCTGGTGCTGTTTTGTGAGAGAAACGTCAGGACTCGGTGATGGGCTTTGTGCGGGTACCAGCTCCGGGGCTGGGCTTTAGGAACGCGATGTGTGATACTTCACGGTGTGTGTTATCTGTGTTACAAAGACGTAAAAGCTCGGTTCGGCGAGCTCGGAACCGCCCGCCTCGCGACCTGAGAGGCGCGAGGATTTGGGCGGGAACCGCCACAGCCCCGCCCCGCCCCTGCCGCCGTCCCGGCTGCGGCGCCGAGGCAGCTGCCGGCCGCCGTAGCCCCTGCGAGGGGAGCCCGTGGCCGGGCTGGGAGGAAGAGAAAGGCGGCGAGAGTCGGGTTACAAGATGGCGGCGGCGCCGCGGTAGCTGCCGAGGCGGCGGAGCGGCGCCAGGGAGGCCCGAGCCGGGGCGCGGCGTCGCCCTCTCGCCGGCGGGGAGCCATGAAAAGCGGCGCGTTAAAGGCCCCGCGCTGCCCCTGAGCGGCCGCCGCCCCGCTTCCAACCCCGCTCTCGGCTCCATCGCCCCCCGGAGGCGGAGCGGGCCCGGGGCCGGAGCGCGGGCCCGAGGCCGGTGCCGCACCATGTCGGACACCCGCCGGCGGGTGAAGGTCTACACCCTGAACGAGGATCGGCAATGGGACGACAGGGGCACCGGGCACGTCTCCTCCACCTACGTGGAGCGCCTCAAGGGGATGTCGCTGCTGGTGCGCGCCGAGTCGGACGGTGAGAGCGTGGCCGGGGCTGCGCGGAGGCCTAGGCCTCCTCCGGGCCTCCCCGTTCCCTTCCCTTTCCCTTTCGGCGGGCCGGAGGCCTCCGGGCCTCTCCCCGCCCGCCCTGCCTGCCTGCCGCTCCTTCCTGCCACTGGCCGAGGGCAGATGGAGCTGCTACACGTGACGACATCTTGTTCGGCTCCAGCAAAGGCTGCCTTTCGCTTCTGGAGTGCCCTTTGCTTTCCCTGCCGGCTGCTCTAGGAGGGCTTTTTCCACCCAGAGCTCTCGGGTCGCGTTGTGTGTTGTTGCCTTACGTTCTGGAGTCACAGTACGGCTGTGTGCCTGGCAGAGGGCACGCTCTGGCCACTCAGCTGCCAACAGGTGCCAGCGTGCTGAATAAAGCACCTCAAAGCCTACGGATTGTGCCGGAGCTGTTGCCAGGATACATACACTGCTCACATACACAGTGTCAAGCGTTGGGTTTATCTGGATGATTCACTTGTGAAGGGCAGTTGAAGGAAATAAAAGCAAATGGCCCCACGTGGCTTGTGTGGGCAAACATGTTTTCATTCTGTGCAGTGTGTTCCCTGCTGTGAGTTTGTATGTGTTTGTAACAGGGCCCTTAAAGCAGTTAATTGTCACACTGGGTTCCTGGAGAAAACATGGTGTGGAGAATTTTGATTTTGAGTTTTATTGTAGGTGTTAAATCTTCTGGCTTACTTGCTGGGAATTATGTCTAAAGAATATTGTTCTGTAGGACTTCCTGGAAGATGTGGTTTAGGCTCAAAATGTGTTGGTGTAAGATCCATGGAAATGTTTGCTTTGTTAAACTCAGTAAGTGTCTTCATAACTTTTCCAGGTTCACTACTGCTAGAATCGAAGATAAATCCAAACACTGCATATCAAAAACAGCAGGTAAGTATCATTACCTCTGATTACTGATGCTCAGTTGTCTCATTCTCAGACTGACTGTCCTGCAGGAAAAAAGAGAGGTGTGATGTGTAGATGGTGGTGGTGCTTTTTTGTAGAGGTGAAGAACTTAAGTTAGGAGCCTGTTGGTGCTGTCTGACTTTGTGTTCTAGAAGTATGAATACCGTTCTAAAAAAAATCCTTTTGGAATGAAGGCTTTGAAGAGGATCTGTGCGTAATATTTGGGTAAATATTGCTCTTGTTACAGGAAAATTAGAAACATGTATATACAGGCTGTATATGTGGGAGACAGGGGGTGTACATGTGAAATAACTGACGCATGATGGAGGCAACATTTCAGCTGCCTTGTGATTTCTGCTGTGTTTATTTCCACCATTCTTTCTTTGACAGTAATATGAAGGAATTTGTGGGCATTGTTGCTGTTGTGCTCTTGTTTCAAGCCTTGAAACCCCCTGCTCTACTCAATGAGATGCCTGCAGCTGGGGGCATCACAGCTGCACAGTTGCCTTTCCTGGGGGTAAGGCTTCTGCAAAACAAAGGAGCAAAACAGTTGGGAGCTATGTTATTAGGTCATCTTTGTTTAATACACTAAAACAGTCTACCAAATCTCTTGCTTTTACTGCGTTTTTTCCTTTTTCTATGTTCCATTTTGATGTCTCTGCCTACATTGTTCTCATGGTTTTGTACTGTTGGTTTTTTTTTTTTTTTTCCTGCCTATTTCTTTGTTCTGCAATGGATTCTGTTTCTTTTGTTCAGTGTTTTGTACCGCTCTTCATCATTATGCTGTCCAGAAACATTTCAGCTCTAGAAAACAATTTGATTTTCTTCCTACATCATTAAGAGCCTGTTGAAGTGTCTCGCTTTGGATTTTTTTGAAAGAAAGATGACAAGTTACGTTGTAAAGATTTGAGGAGAGGGGCCTTCATGCAGCTCTGGAATGCAGATTGGCTGCAGGCAGACTTAGGCTCATTTCTCAGAAAGCTTCTTTCTGTGGTTTCCATTTTTCTCTGGTGAGATGTTGGTGTATTCAGTCAGGTGATGCTTGCTGGCTTTTCTTGGGTGGGTGGCAGGAGATATTCGTGGGAATTCTGCAGGGTTCTGTGAGTCAAAGGCCTTGAGCTGCTTCCTGTTTGGTGCAGGAAGCTAACGCCTAACAAAAACACCACTGCAGGCTGCCTTGCTGCAAAGCTTGAAGTGCTTCCTTTTGCTGCCTGTCCTCTGAAATCCTCAGACAGCTGCTTGTTTGAAAACTTTCTTTACTTAACTGAGAGAAGTCTCAGTTGACTTAATTAGCTGGTTGGCTTTTTGTTGTTGTTGTGGGCTGTAGTTCTAAAAACCTTATCTTAGGCTGAAGTTTGTTTGGGTTGGCTCTTACTGTCAGTTCTAATGCTTCTTTGCCCTTGTGACTGAGTGTTTACTTCGGTTCTCACTCTTTTGGGGAAGTCTTCATTTTTTTGTTTTTATTTTTAAGTAATAATGATGGGAGTTTTCCAGAGACAGGTTTGAGATTTGTCTCATTTCTGAACTCGTGCTGCTTTTATTTGACTAGCGCTTTGTCTTCAATTTTTATGTGCCTATTGCAAAGAGCCAAACCTTTGGCTGTCCTGTGCTTCAGTCTCAGCTCAGATTGTGATTCTCACAAGTCCATTTCTCAGCAGATGTTATTAAAACGGTGGGAGGAATCAGGCAAAATATTTTGGCTGACCAGATAAGAACATGGATTGTCTTTCTTTAGCACCCTGGCTGAGGTCTGCTGTGCAGGCAGCCTGAGGACTTGGAGGCTGTGCCTGTCTGTCCAGGCCAGGCACTTCAGGTGGTGTCAGAATTCAGCTGCAGATTTCAGTAAGGTGCCTTTCACCTTGGATCTGGGGGAAGCCACAAGATGGTGCAGCTTGACAGAAAGGAAGCCTGCCCTGCCTACGCATTGTGAATGACTTGAATCCACTTACAGAGTAGCTGTTGCTTCAGTTGTGATTTGCATAACATCGTTCTGTGGGTGGGGAAAAAAACACAACTGATATTTAATCACTGTGCATCAGTGTACGATTCCCAGTTTGTGCTAAGTAGTACTAGAACTATTGGTTAATTGTAAACAAAACTGCCTTCATGAATCCCGCTTGTGGTGCTTGGCTTTGTGCAGAATTCTGTTTTGTCACAGCCTTAGCATGCAATAGTCATGACCTCTCCTCACGAGAAACATGACATAGGTGCCAGACTGCTCAGCACACAGCCTGAAAGAATCTCTAATTCTGCAAACAGCAAGAGGCACCCTAAGAGCTTTAGGTCACCCTGCATTTGGGGCTTGGGCTCTGAGAGCAACACGCCTCTGCTGAGCACGGGGTGGTTGCCAAAGGGCAGGGTCAGATGTGCTCTGGAGGCTCTGGCAGGAGCAGTTTCAGAAGTTGTTGCCGCACCCATCTGTTGTTCCGCCCTCTGCTTGAGGTTACTGTTCCCTGGCAGGGCTGGCAGAAGGGTGGATGAGTGCTGCAGTGAAATCAGATGGCTCTGCGTGCTTTGTTCCTGCCGCGCAGCTCTGAGGGCGGTTGTTTTCAGCTGTGTGGCTTTAAGTCTTGAAGCTGCTACAGAAATTCTCACTGCACAGCACCTTCTGATGGTAGAGCTCCCCGAAAGGAGCATTACCTCTTTTCAGATGTGAGATGAGGAATGCTCTTGAAGCACAGTTGCTCCAGGTGACATCAGAGCAATTTGCTTCAGGCAAAGTCAGCAAAATTGCTTGAGGCTGGGATTCAGTATGCTTTCAGTGGTGCAATGCTGTGCTTGTTTCAACTGGGCCAGCGTTGGTTTTCTTCATGGTGTCTGCTATGATGCTGTGTTGTGTCTTTGGGAAAAAAATAGTGTTGATAACATGCCAGCGTTTGAGTTGTTGGTGAGTAGTGCTGCACAGAGCCAGCTGAGGGCATTTCAGCTTCTTGTACTGTCTTGCCAGCAAGGGGCTGGGATGGCACAAGGAGCCAAGAGGGACACAACCAGCACTGCTGATGGATAGTCCATACCACATGGCATTACAGAGAAAGCTATAAAGATAAGGGGGTTGGTTGGGGGGGCTTTGCAGCCAGTGGCCACGACTGGGCATCAGACTGTGGGTGGTGAGCAAATCGTGTTGTTTATCAATTCTTCTGTAAATATAATTATCATTACTGCTATTTCTTTCTTTCTTTTCTCATAGGTTGAGATAAAACCTAATTACTGTGAGTTCTGTTTTGGTGTTTTTGGTGGTTTTTTTCCTCCCAGTTCTCTCTTCCATTCCACTGAGAGGGGAGGGAGGGAGTGAACGGCCACATGGTGCTGAGTTGCTGCTGGGTGAAACCGCAGCAGACTGAAGGCAGCCGAGCAGTTAGCGTGAGCATCCATGCAGCTGCTTGGCAGATCAGCTGTAGGAACTGATCCCACCAAACATCTCTTTCTGCTGGCTGAGCTACCTGCCTCTCTGCCAGCAAGGGGCTGGCATGGAGACACTGAGAGGGAGCAGCAGGCATTTTGTGATCCTTCACTGACAGTGAGGAGGGAGTGAGCTGCTCTTTTAGAGCTCAGGTTGTTGATCTGAATTACTCTTTTTCTTGCTTTGTGTTGTATTGTATCATTTGAGTGAATTCAGGAAGATTGCTGTTGGTGATCTGAGCATGCCAAGCAGTGTTGGTGTGAAGGAGCTGGGCCTGGGATGTGTCAGTCTGTGATGCTGGGTGCTCTTAGGTCATGCAGGAAGCATAGGGATGACAGGTAAATTGGTATTGGTGTGGGACAGTTATTTTCTGATGAAACTGAAGAGGACAACAGGCAGCATCTTACCTATGAGGTGTGAGTGGGAGTGTTTGAAGTGAGCAGGAAGGATCCTGGTTACTCCTTGTGGTTCTTCACTGAGCTTATTTGTTGGAAACACTTAAGAGAGTTTATGTTTTAAAGTCCTTTGGAAATATTTTTGGAGAAATTTACAGAACTTGTGCAAGCGTTACAGAGTGCAGCAGGCACCATTCAGAATTCTCACCAAATGTTTAAGCACAGTCTCTGTGGGTGCATGCAGTCGTCGTAGACACTGATGTGTGTCTGGTACCTGTGTGATCCTGGGCTGTGAGCAGGACTTCTTCACCCCTGTGTTCATTAAGCTTCCTCTGGGATTCAGCTTACATGCAGCAGCATTGATTTGTGAGCATTAGGGCATCAGTGTTTTCACAGAACACTTTCAGGTATACGTTTCCCATTTTGATTTTTGCAGTTCCCAAGAAATTGTACTTAAGAATTCTCTTTAATTCAATTAGTCCATAAAAGACAAGTATTTTTAAGGAGGATGTTACAGGAAAGACAAGTTGATGCTATTAATTTGCAGCATCATTTAAATCATTCTATTTTAGACTCTTGACTGATTTTATGTTGTAAAATGTCTTCAGGTCGTAACAGTTATCCCACATGTAGTTGAATGAAAGTGATTCTAAGCTCTTTACAGATAGCCTATATCAAATTTATTGATAAAAATCATTGCTAATGCATTTGGTATAAAAACCTACATATTCTGTTTTCACTTCCTGAAAATAAGCTCCTTTGGCAACGCTGAGTGACCACTTGGGAGACCTCTTTCTGCTGTGCTCTTCTTTGGGTTCTTTGGCAGCTCATGTGGTATCAAGTCGGGAGCCGACTGGATTTTCAGTTTCTGCAGTTTCCAGCTGTTCCTATTCCTTGAAGGCCAGTTCCCTGCTCTCTCAAATGTCACGCTCACTGTAAACATGGACTGAGCTGTCCGTGAGCCAGAGACGAGACTCAACAGCTGTGAGCAGAGTGGTGCCAGCCATAGGAAGCTGTGCTGTTTGCACACGTGGGTCAACCCTAAAGCAGGGAAAATGTAGCAGGAAAGTGCAAGTGTCCTGTGAGGCACTGTAGTAACAAACAGCTCTTGTGAGCAGTGCAGTGAGCTCAGTGCTTTGTTAGGGAAGACCTGTCTCTTTAAGGAAAAGTAGAGAGATATGGGGAGAAATATTGAGCTTGTACAATTGCTGTTGTTTAGCGTGGCTTGTGGTTTTCCTGTGGAAAACAGAAACTGATTTAGTAGTAGGCCTTCATCAGCAAGGTTGCCATAAGAGAAGAAATAGTATGCATGAGAAGCAAAGATGGAAGCACGTCACTGCGTTTGGCTATTGCGAGAACACTGCAGAACTTCCCTGGAGAGCTGCTGGCATGTGGTGCTGCAGCAGTTGTTTGGCACACTGTGTGGGAGGAGAGTCCCTCTGTGAGCCATGCAGCTGCAGATCAGCTCTCTGCTCCCTGAGCTGTCCCCCCAATTGCTGCCAGGTCTGCTTGCAGCATCTGAGCTAACACAGCTTGGGTCAACTCACCTGGATCACCTGGGAAGGCAGTAATCCCTTCCTGAGACCTTCAGGAAGGCTTCTTCCCTTCGACATAAGATGGGCCAGGGTTGAGAGCCCTTTGGGGTAAGGATGTGAGGGAGAGGGCACTGGGACCTGTGTTCCTTGTTGCCTGTTGCTTTCCTCTAATACACTGAGTATCTGTAAGCCGCCTACTTGTTTGCTTGGGTTTGATTGCTGAACTTAAAAACGTCACTCAGGTATTTTGTTTGTGACAAAAGTGATATACAAGGTGAAGGATCAAGACTTACAGGCCTCCCTTAGCTGTGCACTCGATATTGTCCTCGGCAAAAGTAGGAAGTGAATTGCCTTATTGACATGAAGCAAGGGTTTACTGGGGCTTAAAACAAGTTGTGGTAGCAGTTCAGGAAGTCAACAGATGTAACAGCATTGAACTGTTTTGCTGGAGCTCACAAAGCCGGCAGAGAGCAGATGGCTTGAAGCACTTTGATGTGCAGATGGGTGTATTGTAGGATGCAGAACTGCGTATTGGGTGTCCAAGCACAGGCTTCATTCCTGCCCTGGCAGCTCTCCTGCAGACCTGGTAACTCACATGTTTTAAGCCTAATGCATTGAAATTCTCAGCCACTCTGAATTAAGTTATGTTAATGCAGCTTTGCTCTGCAAGTACCATTGTTCAGTATGTGTTTGAATGGCCTTGTTTTGGAAATATTCTACCCTAAATGAGGAAGTTGGGCTTGTTTCAAAACAAGAGACTCTGTATTGGTAGTGTCAGATAGTGTGATAAGTCAGAAGATGTTTTAGGTGCCTGCTAAGAGGAATGCATGACTTAGAGCAGCATGTCACCTAACAAAACCTCATTAAAAAAGATCTATAGTCTATGCAAAAAATCAAATGTAAAATCGATTGTTCAAACATACAAATTAAATTAATAGAGGCGGTAATTGCAGAGGAAAAGTTGAAAAAATCTGTTGCCAAGGTGTTTGTGGACTTGGTAGCAACTTACTGCTTGGGTTACATAAAACTTGCATGTCTTAGTTTAGAAAAACTTGCATGTGTTTAGGTTTGTAGTACTCAAGGCTTTATTTCTCACCTCGTTACAGCTGTATTAAACTCCTTCTGAGAAGGAAGTGATAATCTTTTACTTTCATCCACTGCTTCAGAAGAATTTCAGGTTTTTCATATTTATGTTACAAATGTACTTAATTTTTTTTGTATGCATTCATATACACAATCAGAACTGCTGTATGTTGCAGAGAAATGAATGTTTTCACTATGGGAAGATGTATATACAAGTTAACATTCATAAAGCAAAAAAAAGAAAGGTGATGTCCCTTAGAGCAGAACAGATAACTTAAGATTTCAGTGACTTATGCTATTCTTTTGACAAAGGTAACATAAATTATTCCTTAGATGTGATTCAACAGAATACAGTTAAATCCCTGGTGAAGATCTGAACTGTCTGAAAAATGAATGTATTTGGTTTGTTGTTTTTTTGTTTTTTGTCTTAAACAGGACACCTTGATTGTTTGGTCAGAAGCAGAGAACTATGACTTAGCACTGAGTTTTCAAGAAAAAGCTGGCTGTGATGAAATCTGGGAAAAAATCTGCCAGGTACAGTTAAAGTTTCCTATTGTTTCTTGCAGATGTTTTAGTGTCTTCTGTCTTTTCATGTATCTGTGTTGTACTTTTAAAACCTATTTGTAAAATAAGCGTGTCTTTGTTGTTGCTTTCTGTGGCTTTTCTGTGTAAAATCTTAAGTTGCCACTCTTTAGAACAAAATTTGTGTTTTTCACAGTTGGCCTTCCTGCTCTTAAAATCAACAAGAGAAACCCAGTTTTTGCTTTCTTTTAGATTAAAAACTAGAAAACCTAGAGTGCCAGATTTTAACTGTCCTATGGGAAGCTAGCTAGTTGTAATCAGTTATAATACGTGTGGGACTAGCTCTCCCTCACTGAGAGGCACTGCTGGCACTGCTGTCTGAGCTCAAAATGTCAGTCATTTTTCCATCGAGGCCTAAGTCTTACCATATCTTAGGGATATTTCAGTCTGCACTGTATTAGTAGAATCAAAAGTTTGAGATCTGAGCTCTGATTCTACTAATAACAGATCAGTGGAGTTACTACACTATGTGTACTTCACAAAAGAAATCCAGACTTTTGTGTTAGAATTGATCCTAATTGTCTCAGATTCTGGAAAATATAAAGCTGTAACTAAGGAAACTTAGAATTCAGATTTCTGAGCAGTTTCCTTTGAACAAAATAGCTGATTAAGATGCTTTCTTATACTCCAAAGCATGCTGAGTTTGAATCTTCTCAGTCAGTTGTGAAGTACTGAAAGGACTGAGCTGGTAGCTGCAGATATGTCTAATGCATAGTCCAGGTTTTCAGTTAGTCCTGTGTGGGGCTGATGTGATAATTAGTCTGAGAGGAAGGTCTTCATGTGGTCAGATGGTGCCAGCCATTAGCCTTAGTTCTTTCATTGGATTTCAAAATTCTTAGCACTTTGAGACTCCCCTCTGGGAGGTGATCTTTTGTGGGAGAGGTCTGATAGAGGAATTTATGAATCTTAGGATGAGTAAATGAAATAAAAAGTATAGGGTGTACGAGTAGGCTGGGGGAAGGAGAGGAGCATACTCAACAGAACTAGTGTACAGAGTAGGAGTCAGTTATATCCCTCTTTCCCTGTTCAGTTTGGGTATCCATTATGCCTTTATGCCTTTGTTCTTGATCTTTTTGTTATGGTTCACATCATGTTAGCATAGCTGTGGGCTCTTACCATGACTTTATACCCTAGTCTTCCCTTCTGTTTGAGATACTGAAAGAAGGCTTTGTTATGCCCTTCTTTACTTTCTCTATTTTATCTTCAGGGTACTTCAGATTTCTTTGTTGCACAGATGTGGTTAGGTTTTGGTGGGTTGGTTTGTTTGATTTATGACAAATACCTACTGGAGGTAATGGTAGTGACTTCTGTAGAATTCACAGGCAGCAGACTTAACTGTTTTTCCTCACAGCTAGAAACTTTCCAGGCAGCTGAAGGCATGAAAGGATTTATGTATGTTATCTGCTTGATTACTCTTACGTATGTATTGGGATGAGACAGTTAACTGTGTGCACTGTTTTTAGGTTCAGGGTAAGGATCCTTCAGTGGAAGTCACACAGGACCTTATCGAGTCTGAAGAGGAGCACATAGAAGAAATGCCCGAAACCAGTCCTTTGATCGACCTTCCTTCTTGTGAACTCAACAAACTTGAAGAGATTGCTGACCTAGTTACCTCTGTTCTCTCCTCACCCATCCGTAGAGAAAAGCTAGCACTGGCCTTGGAGAATGAAGGCTATATTAAGAAACTATTGCAGCTTTTCCAAGTCTGCGAGAATTTAGAGAACACAGAAGGCTTGCATCATTTGTATGAAATTATTAGAGGAATTTTGTTCCTCAATAAAGCAACTCTGTTTGAGGTGATGTTTTCTGATGAGTGTATTATGGATGTTGTTGGATGCCTTGAGTATGACCCTTCTTTGGCTCAGCCAAAACGGCACAGGGAGTTCTTGACCAAAACAGCAAAATTTAAGGAGGTTATTCCTATAACAGACTCTGAACTCAGGCAAAAAATCCATCAGACTTACAGGGTACAGTACATTCAGGACATCATCTTGCCGACACCATCGGTTTTTGAAGAGAATTTTCTTTCTACCCTTACTTCCTTTATTTTCTTCAACAAAGTTGAGATTGTCAGTATGTTGCAGGTAAGTGATTTTTAATATGCTATAGATTCTTGATGTGTAGATGCATCTAGTTTATGATTATGGCTCTTCAACACTGTGTGAAGTAATTGTATGTTTTCCCCTGATTTCTGATACCTTAATTTTATTTTTGATTTTTAAAAACGTTGGACTTCAGATTTACAAGCTTTATGTTGTAAATAATTTATTGTACTGATTTCTGATGCTCATGTTGTAATACGAAGTAGTTTATTCACTGGTTTTCTCTTCCTGCTGATATCCCACAGTAATAACACATAACCAAAACATTACAATTCCAAGGCCCTGAAAAATATCCTGAAGACTTCACAATCAGAAACAGACTTAAAAGCAGCTGCTTGTCACAGACAAATTGGACTATGGAAAGAGCCTTAGGTGTGAAATGCTCTGCATGCATGTAGTAATGTTTTGGGTGTTTTCAGTTCATATTTTGTTGTGCAAACTAAGGGCTACCAAAGTGGTTTGGTTCTGTTTGTGGTCCATTTACTTTGGAATATGGCACATTTATGTGGAGCAGAGCTTTACAGATAGGTCAGTTTTCATTTAAAGAAAAGAATATTAAAGCTGTGGGAAGAAGTAGGCAGTGGAGAAATAACATTGCCATGAGGAGTGTTTCTAAAGACTGCAATAGAGGAGCAGAGACAAAAAAACCCAAAAACCTAGAACTACTCAAACGCAAAGGAACAACAAAAGGCAGTTATGTGGATAAGCTTTGGGGCTTTTTTTTTTACTTGGGTTGAATAGCAGAAAGAAGCAAAGTAGGTCTCTCTTGCAGAAAGAATGACTTGGTTAAGTAAATCTTTCCCATTTTATTATTTGCACTTGTAACTTTTCTAAATCTAAAAATACATTCAGTGTCATTTTCCTAGGGCCACACTCCTACTTCCATTTAGAGAGATACTGAAAAAAGAAAAGGTTTTTGTGTTCCATTTAAGTTTTACTGTACTGAACATTTAATTGTACCCTAGCAGAAAACTCTCACTTCCTGGCTCTTCTCTCTGGAACTCTTCAAAGGAAGCTCTGGGATTGTGGCAGTTCCGTGCTGCTCTGTCACTGCCAACTCAGCTGTGGTTGGGATGAGTAGATGGCACACAGTTTATCTAGTGTATCTAGTTTATCTAGACTGTAATTGAGGCATGCACATTGATCTGCAAGTGGTATTGATACCTACATCAGTTAACCTGCCTTGAGGGTTACACAGAAAACACAAACAGAAGTTTCTGGCTATTGTAGCTCAGGGGAGCTGCATGGTGGTACTAACAGGAGGTTCAGGACTTTTCCCACTTTCCTGGTGTAAATCAGCTTTTTTGTGTGGCATAAGAATCCTGGAGCTCCTCTGGGTTTGGTGTAGAAATTAGAAATCTTACTGCCTTAGACACACCAGTGTTTCCTAGGGAACACAGCCTATAGAAGTAACAGGTTGTGCAGCAGCAGGGCTCTGTGATGGGTGGGAAGCAGAGCAAGCATAGAAAGTGAGCCTGGAGCTGTGCTGTGCTCCAGGACATGAGGACTACAGCTGCAGCAGCTTTACACAATCTGCTTGTTGTGATACGATTTTTTTAACAGGCTTAATTTAGCTGTTAAAGCCAGCAATGCTTAAAATAAACCAGTAAGTCTGTGCAGGTCATCTTCCACCCGATGCTGATTCAGGTATCACTTGTTGTAAAGTGTAATGTTACCATTGGCTTTAAGATTTGTATTGTGTTTGGAGAGTGACAGACAATTTGGTTTGAAAGAACATCAGCACTATTCCATGTAAAGGGCTGTTGGGAAGATCCTCATACAGAGAGTGGGTGGGGGGGCAGCTGCTGGGAGGTGGGGGCTCATCCTGGTGTTCTGTGCCTTGGCAATTAGGTAGTGTGTGACCAGAATGACTGGCAAGAGGTGAGTTGGTGTCCCCTCTGCAATTGAGGGGTATCCCTTGGTGATAGATGATCTTGGTGTGAAAAGCAAATAATCAGAAAAGTTTTCCAGATGGGTGAAAACTGAACTTGGTACAAGTAGGGGAGCTTGGCTTGCTGAGAAGAGCTTCTGCTGCAGGGCTGTGCAGTTGTAGCCCAACAGGAAGGACCCGTGCAGGACAGGGAGGGAGCCTGGAGTATAAAGTGGCCACTTGTGCTGCCTGCTGGCAGCAGGATGTCACGCATTGAGTTTGTGGTGCTGTGAAGCACAGTGAGTGGAGTGCTGGAGGAGAGCAGGGAGAGGTGAGGTCTGCTTAGTTTTGCTGCTGGGAGGCAGGTCTGATCACTTCACCTGTCCTCAGCTTCATGTGTGGTGCTGCTGCACGGCGTGAGGACTGAAAGAGTGCACTGAAAGTGATGTTTGTAAACTTGAATTCTTACATTTCCCTTTTTAATGATAAAATGTATATATTTATTGACCAGATCTACGAGTGCATGTTTTTTCCTTTCTAAGAAGTGAGCAAGTAGTTAAGTTTGATCATACAGTGTCAGCCTGTAAAGGCCAGTTAAATGTGTAAGCTGTCTTGTGTAAGTTGTTTTCCTCTTGTGTTACACAGGAAGATGAAAAATTTTTGTCCGAAGTTTTTGCACAACTAACAGATGATGCTACAGATGATGACAAACGATGTGAATTGGTAAGTCCTTGTGCTTGGGACTTCTTGGAGTACTTTAATCTTCAGGCACAAAGCAGGAACATTGGAGCTGTTCTGCTAGTTCTGCCTCCAGTCAGGTGTTTCTGTAACCCTAGAGGGAACCATTTCTAATGTACCATTGTCTTTGATTTTGTACTCACTAGAAGAATATTTCTTGTGAGGTAAAAATCTGGTTTATTTGTTCTCAGTAACTGAGAAAGAGCCAGTCCTAAGCTAAAGTCTTAAGCTTGAAGGTACACCTCCTTCACTGGTTGGTGACAAGCTGCATGTGATGCTGTCTGGATCCAGGAATGGGACTCAGGAATCCCTGTGTGTCTCTTTCATCTTGACATACCCTGTGAATTATCCTAAGTGCTCTTCAGCATGCTCTCTCCCTTAGGCTTACCATACAGTTACTGCTTTTTCTCATTGTATTTTGCTCAGTCAGTAAGATGTTTCAGCCCTGGGGCTGAGGGTTAACAATGGTCTCTTAGTATGTATATTACACAGAATCATAGAATGGCCTGGGTTGCAAAGGACCACAATACTCATGCAGTTCTAACCCCCTGCTATGTGCAGGGTCACCAACCAGCAGACCAGGCTGCCCAGAGCCACATCCAGCCTGGCCTTGAATGCCTGCAGGGATGGGGCATCACAACCTCCTTGGGCAACCTGTTTCTCTCTGACTCTTTATCAGTTTAAATTGCCTTTCTAAAATCTAGAGTGACTGTTTTCAGCAAGGGAGAATATGTTTGTTCTTTTAACAGAAGGCAAACTGCAGAAGTGTAAATCCTTCCTATGCTAAATGTGATAAAATAGCTACAAGATGACTGTCCTACTTTGAGGTAAATTCAGCCTCTTAGCAGACTTTGTTGTTAACTGCTTTTGCTTTCCTTTCATCCTTAATGTTGCCTAACTGATGTTGAACACTGGAGGAGAGGAGCAGAGCAGTCCCTTTACCAGGCAGACATACACCAACCAGTACACAAACTGACACAAATCATAACCACTTCATACTTTGAGAGTTTCCTGAATCAAATGCTCGTTTTTTCCCCTGTGTTACAGGTTAACTTTTTCAAGGAGTTCTGTGCATTTTCTCAGACGTTACAACCTCAGAACAGAGATGCATTTTTCAAAACTTTGGCAAAGTTGGGAATCCTTCCAGCTCTCGAAATTGTGATGGTAAGTGAAAATTCAGAACTGTTTTTATTAAAAGGGGGGAAAACACGTGACCTTTAAGTAGACCTGCCCTATACCTTTCTGTAAATTTCACTGGGTGGCTTTGTTCTTCTGAAAGTAACATTGAGAATCCCAGAGGATGTCCAGGTGGCCCCACTTCATTGCAGTGACTGTTTTGACTTTGTGTGATGATGCAGTCCTCTTGACAGCAAGTGTAAAATTCAGAAAGGATTCTTTCACGTTGCAGCTCAGTGTTGTTGTTGTTGTTGTAGTTGGAATAGGACCAAAGAAGTATTTTTAGATAATCTTGACCTCTTATCTGTTCCTATCCTATCCTAATCCTGCCTTTTCAGTGGTTTAAAGCAGATTAATCCATCTTAATCAGCAATGTGAAAACATGCTTTTTCACTCCTTTGGTTGAAGCATCTGTTGCTGCTTGATTTTACAACTTGTGTCATTGCTGTTGTTGGAAACTATGTATACTCTTTGTTTGTTTTAATGTTCGAGAAACAACCTGTGATATTAATGTTCTTTGATAACTGTTGTATAAATGTAAAAGCAATATGAATGTTAAGTGATTGGACAAACTCTAATCTTATGTTTTTTTTCCATGTGTAGACTGCTTCATGTGTTTCCCATCCTGTTAATTTTCTAAGCTTAGAATTTTCTTATTGTCTGAGTGAGACACAAGTGAATTTATACTAAAATATGTAGTTGGTTCTTTTCTACAGAACTCTGCATAACAGTACTAGCATCTTCAGTGCCATAAGGAATAATACCATAAAACATTTCTTGCCTAAATTAGAGGTAGCAAATCAACAGACAGCCCTGTGATCTTCTAAAGGATGGGGGAAAAAATCACTTCTTTCTCCTGTCACTGTTCTGCTGCTGTATAAATCTTAATAATAACATGTTCTCAGAGCTTGTAACTCCCTGCTAAATTGATCTCATTTTTACCAGGGAATGGACGATTTGCAAGTTAGATCTGCTGCTACAGATATATTTTCTTATCTGGTAGAATTTAGTCCATCCATGGTCCGAGAATTTGTTATGCAAGAGGCCCAACAGAGTGATGATGTAAGTAAGCATGTTGTAAAGTTTGTTGAGTTCATTAAATATATTAGTTTTAAAACAAAAAAAAACACAAACCAAAAGCTTCCCTGGCACTTGGGATACATTTAGTCCAGAATTGTAGATGGCAGAAACATAGGAAAAAATAAATGTCAGACACAAACATTTCTGAACATGATGGTATCCCATATGTTCACAGCAATAAGTTCATAACTCTTTCTAGCAGTGATTCTTAGTTGAGATGGATTTTTCATGACAAAAACTCCAGTGTTTATGTGCAGCTCTTTCCATTTTCACATTTTGCTTCATTATTGGAGAGAAAAAAAAAGACACCCTGATGTGAAAGCTGTGGCAGTCATTGGGCTACTGCCTCATTTTTAGCTTTTGTTTTTTTCAGGACATCCTCCTCATCAATGTGGTCATTGAGCAGATGATCTGTGACACTGATCCTGAACTCGGCGGGGCTGTTCAGCTGATGGGACTCCTGCGCACCTTGATAGATCCAGAGAACATGTTGGCCACAGCTAATGTAAGGAAATACAAAGGGGTAAAGACACTTTACCATCTCAGCAGAAATAAAAAACTGTTTTTCGTATTGTTGTTCTCATCAGAGGATTAAAAAAAGAATATTTGTTACAGCGTCAATTTTAACAAGCTATAAAAGAAACTGAGGCTTCCTTTGATAACATGTGGATATGGCATTGTCCAAGTGTATGTTAACACCAACAGCTGAAGGCTTCAGTGAAATAACACCAGTTTGATCATAACTCCTGGTAGCTCAGCTATGGATATATGCATAAGAGAGTCCAGTAGGATCTGTGTTATTCCAAGTTGCTGTTTTAATACCAGTGGCACAATGCAGCTGCTACTGGCACCATACCAGAGTATTTCGTAGAATCATAGAATGATCTGGGTTGAAAAGGACCACAATGCTCATCCAGTTTCAACCCCCTGCTGTGTGCAGGGTCACCAACCAGCAGACCAGGCTGCCCAGAGCCACATCCAGCCTGGCCTTGAATGCCTTCAGGGATGGGGCATCCACAACCTCCTTGGGCAACCTGTTCCAGTGCCTCACCACACTCTGTGTGAAAAACTTCCTCCTAAATTTAATGCATATTTAATGTGTGTTGTCCTTAAGAAGGCACATTGTGTGTTGGTGGGCATGCACTATATAGAATGTAAGGAAATAGACAAGGTGATGCTTGTTTTGATGTGATGTGTTGCAGGTGATTATAGGTAAAATTAATGCCCTCAAGAGTGGTTTAAGCAAACTCTGTAAAGCAGTGAGAGTACAGTCTGTCTTTTCAGTATGTTTGCATCCCCCATGTTTTTTTCTATCGGTATTTAAGTTGATTTGGTGTCTAATACCACTTTCCCAAAATACAGAAATACATCTTGGGAGAGATTAACATTGCAGGTCCAAACAAAAAGATGCAGGCAGACCAGAGAGGGTAGGATACAGTTCTCTGTAGGATACCTCCATTGCTACTACTTTTTAGTTAAGAGTATACATGCAGTTGCCAATGTTTAATAAAGTTTTGTTTGTTTTAGAAAACAGAAAAAAGTGAATTCCTCAACTTCTTCTACAACCATTGTATGCACGTTCTTACTGCTCCACTTCTGGCTAATACATCAGAAGATAAATGTGAAAAAGGTAATATTACTTTTGGTTTTAAAATCTTGTTTTTTGAGCTTAGGAAATAAGCCTATGATGCAAGGTGGGAATATATGTCCTGGAAAATGTTGGGCCTCTGTGAGCACAGAGCTGCATGGTGACATGCAGGTCCTTGCTTTCAGTCACCTGCTCACGTGTGCCACAAGCTGTGAGCCAGTTTTAGCCAGGCAGTAAAAGAGGATGTTTGTCATAAAGCTGTGTCTGTAGCTCACGGGAGGCTTTTGGAAGAGCAGATGCAGAAATGCTGTGATGTTGATGGGAAGTTACTGTCAGCTCAGGCGATTGACTGAAGTCTGGATTAGGCAACAGTGGAGAAATGCTGAAGGAAACCTCTGCCAAGAGATACTTGGAGCTCCTTTTTCTTTTCTCTAACTTGATAATGGTGAATGAATTGGCACTTAATTACGTAATTAGCACTCACATTAGTTGAATGCTTTACAAAGACATTTAATATCATGGCAGCCTCTGAGTCAGGCTTTTTTTAAAGCACTTTTTCAAGGGATGAAAGGAATGGTTTTGCAAATGTGTTTGATTTGGTCATACCCATTTTCTCGTGGTTGAGTGCAAAAAAAACAAACAAATGTGTGTTAACTGAGAACAGAAATAGAATATCTGGAGTATTCATTTGGAGATATTTGAAGAAAATAGAATGAGCTGTGTAGGAATAATATTCTTTAGTGTTAGATTGTATTTTCACCTAGTTGCATTTGAAATTTTGTAACGTAAATGGACTGAGATGTCAGCTGGCATGCATTCTGACTGTATGATTGCTTCCCTGTAGCTCAGAGTTTTGGTTAAATTAAAAGCTTGAACAGCTGGTAGAACGACTTATCCCTATCTTTTGCATATTTGCAGTGCTTTGAAAACTTTTTCTTACATTTGCTTTTATTTTCTATTTATCAGATGCAGTAGTTGGGTCCACTAAAAGTAATACGATTTGTCCTGGTAAGTTTTAATTGACCTTGAGTTCTGAACCTTGTTCTGCATCATGCATACCTTCATTTAAAGAAGAAAGTTCATCTTGTTGCTTAAATACGTATTATTAAAGGAGATGTGGGTGCTGGGTTTTATTTGAGATAGCAAGAAGCTGGAAGAACATTTTCATCTTTTCTGAGTAGCTGTGTTTTGTTTCTTTTCCCCTTTCCAGTCTCTCTTGCTTCTGTAAGATCCTCCTCTTTAGTGTCTGTTCATGTCTGCATTTTTCTTGTAGATAATTACCAGACGGCACAACTGCTCGCCTTAATCCTGGAGCTGCTTACTTTCTGTGTGGAGCACCACACCTATCACATCAAGAACTACATTATGAACAAAGATTTGCTAAGAAGAGTGCTGGTCTTGATGAATTCAAAACACACTTTTCTGGCCTTGTGTGAGTATGGAGCTGCCACAGTTTCCTTCCTCAGGATGTTTTTTGTACTGCGTGGAATGTGTTGTAAATAAAAGGATATGGCTGAGTTCAGAATTGGGATAAAACTCTGTTACAGAATCACAGAATTGTAGGGGTTGGAAGGGACTCAAGAGATCATCAAGTCCAACCCCCCTGCCAAAGCAGGTTCCCTACACCAGGTCGCACAGGTAGGCATCCAGGCAGGTCTTGAATATCTCCAGAGAAGGAGACTCCACAACCAACCTGTTCTTAAGGCTCACTGGTTAGTGAGTCTGAAAAAAAGAAATGGAGTTACTGGAGTTAACTAGAGTGGTGGAAGGAGAATGATTGCAGCTGGTGATGTGATAGCAGGGATCTGTTGTGATCATCTGTGTTAAGTGGAAGTCCTGTCTTTTCTAAGTAACTTCCTAAATCTGGTGCTGCACCTGGGGAGCAAATGGACTGGATGAAACGTGGTTCTGGAAGGTGCACACAGAAGCATGGGAATGAACTAATTTAATTTTACACTCACTAAGGTTTGTTACTGCACTACTTCAGAAAGAAAACGATGGATCCTGATTGCGTTCAGATATAGAAGAAAGTCAGAGAATGGAGGAGGAAACCAAGTTAACCATCTGCAGATGTTTCTTTTGAATTTGTCTTTTCAGTTCTTGCCAAGAGGGGCGGATTGGAGGCTGGATGTGTAGTTACTCTTTCATTTCTTTCCTCATATAGGTGCTCTTCGCTTCATGAGGAGGATAATTGGGCTAAAAGATGAATTTTACAACCGTTATATCACCAAGGGAAATCTCTTTGAGCCGGTTATAAATGCTCTGCTGGATAATGGAACCAGATACAATCTGCTCAACTCTGCTGTGATCGAACTGTTTGAATTCATCAGAGTGGTACGTAGTTAAGCAGCTTCTGCAGCTCTTGTATATACGTATGCACACAAGTCACCAAGTAGAACAAAGTGCACGTATTTCACAGGAATTAAATATTTAATAGTAATTAAAATCACAAATTAAAATCCCGGAGAGAGATTAAAAATAGCAAAGAGCCAGTATGCTGCTTTGTGCTTGTTTTACTCGATTGTTCTCTGAAGATACATGTAGAAGCCTTATTTATACCCGTGTCTGTGTAGAAGATAGCATCCTGGAGATTAAATTCTTGTAAGTGGCTGAGTTGTTTGAGACCAGACTTGGAAGTGAGGAAAATGAGACCGATTTGACTGTCAGTTGGAAAGATCACTCTCCTTTAAGATCATGCTTTCTGAGGTGGTGTCAGCTCTGAAACAATGGCTCTTCCACTGGCAGCACACAGACAGGACAGACAGGACAAGCAGGAGCACCCAGTTGTTGTACTGTGGGGTAGGAATCGAGGACTGAGAACAGGTCCTGAGCTGCATGCTGCAAGCATGCTGGTGTGGGAGTCTTCTCAGAAGTCTTTGTGGTCTGTGAAAATGAAGGCAATTCTTAGATGTCGGGTATTGTAGTTGCTGTCATTCCCAGAAAAAGGGAAAGTTGTATGTTCAAATGTCTTTTGCCCTTGTATAAGCCTTAACACTCAGACTACAACACAGTTAGACTTATGGTTGGGCAACTGAACAAAAGGTTCCACGTGTGCTGATGCAGCTATTTAGCACTATAAAGAGAAGTAAAACTTAAGGGGAGAGCAGAGCCTAATGAAACTTTTTTTCCTCAATTAAGCCTGGTCTGGGATAGTGAATATCATGGTTTAATCAAAATATAACAAAGAGGGTTGCTAAAATACAGAGTGTTGTCTATTAATCTGAGAAATAGTATGAAAAACAGCAATTGATTTTTACACTTTCTACAAGAATTGTGGTCACAGAATGGTGTGGGTTGGAAGGGACCTTAGAGTGTCCCTTCCCCACCCACCCCTACCCACCAGCACTACTCCTGCCATGGGCTGCCTCCCACCAGCTCAGGCTGCCCAGAGTCCATCCAGCCTGGCCTTGGGCACCCACAGCTCTCTGGGCAGCAGTGCCAGTGCCTCACTGCTCTTTGAGTGAAGAATTTCTTCGTAACATCTAACGTAAATCTCCCCTCTTTTAGTTTAAAGCCATTTCCTTTTGTCCTACCCCTACATATACTTGCAAAAAGTCCCTCTCCAGCTTTCCTGTAGGCCCCCTTTAGGTACTGGAAGGCTGTTCTAAGGTCTCCCCAGCACCCTCAGCCTTTCTTCATAAGAGAGGTGCTCCATTTTCTGAGCATTTTTGTGGCCTTCGTCTGGACCCTCTCCAGCAGCTCCACATGCCTCCTGTGCTGGCCTGGATGCAGTGCTGCAGATGAAATTTCACAAGGGCAGAGCAGAGATGGACACCCCGCCCTCCCCCTGCCCTGCTGGCTACATAATTCTTAATTAGGACAATTAATCAGTTACTTCTAAAATTAATCAATTCTAAAGCTTTCTGAACTTCTGCAGACTTAAATATTTGCTTTGTTCTTATGCAGGAAGATATTAAGTCGCTTATTGCACATATAGTTGAAAACTTTTATAATGCACTTGAATCTATCGAATATGTTCAGACATTCAAGGGGTTGAAGACAAAATATGAGCAAGAGAAAGACCGGCAAAACCAGAAACTGAACAGGTAATAACTATAGTTTGGAATACTGCTATTTAATGTCATGTAATATCAGCTTACTGCTGTTTTGTTTTGTTTTAATTCTTTCATGAATGTCAGAAAAAGCAGGAAGCTGTGGTTGAGGTGTGAGCTTCTTTGTATTTTTATATGTATTAAGAGTAAACCTACATCTGGCTTTCATCATTGGCCTACTGTGGTACAGTTCAGTTTGTCAGTGTGTTAAATGCTAGTCAGAAAACATTCAGCTTAAAAGGGCAGAATCTGTTTCATTCCAAGTTAGGCCTCAGTCTGCCTTCTTGCCACTTGGGGTGTTGGTCAAACTGTGGTGGCAGAATGGAATGGTTTACCTGAAGGCATCAGAAGCCATTTCTTATCCTGTCGGATCCTGACACTTGAACCACATGTTGTGTGTCTCTTACAGTGTCCCATCTATATTGCGTAGCAATAGATTTCGCAGAGATGCAAGAGCCTTAGAGGAGGATGAAGAAATGTGGTTCAATGAAGATGAAGAGGAGGAAGGTGAAGCTGTTGTACCTCCAGTTGAGAAGTCTAAACCAGAGGATGATTTTCCAGACAGCTACGAAAAGTTTATGGAAACTAAAAAAGGTATTTCATCTCATTGTCACTGTATTTACTCTGTGCAAGACATGTAGAGTGTTGTGTGCTCACACCTGGGGTTTGAATCATAAGCAGGAGGAAAGATACTCCACACTAAGGGATGAACTGCCAGTGTGTCTTTGCAAGCCAGGTGAGGATTAAAACAAGTGTGATTGCTCCAGACCAGTTTAACACCTGGTTTAACTGGCATTCAAAACCAAATGTCTCTGTGTGTGTGTGTTCTGAGTGAGCACCATCTGTACCAAAGCTGTGCCACTCTTACTTGGAATGCTGGCACACTTTGCGTCAGGTCAGTGAGCAAGCTGCTTGTTCAAACCAGAGTTTTAGAAAGAGGCTGCTTCTGCCCCATGATGGATTGTGATGTGGATTGTGCTTCGTGGTATACAGCTGATACTTATGCATGAAAATTCTGTCCCTCAGCTAAAGAGAGTGAAGATAAAGAGAATCTTCCCAAAAGGACTTCAGCTGGGGGATTCAAGTTCACTTTTTCCCACTCAGCCAGCGCAGCCAATGGCGCAAACGGTGCAAACAGCAAATCTGTGGCAGCTCAGACATCACCAGCAAGCTCCAATGGCTCGTCTTCCAAGAACGCCACCCTGACCACAGCAGTGACAGCCACGAAGGTGGGAGATCTGTGTGAAAGCAGCTGTCCTCACGTAGGGCAGCAGAGCTGCGTAACAAACTCTTCAGGTTGCAGTGCAGCAGGTCTCTGTGTGGTGCCTTACTGCAGTGTACATTTATCTGTGCCCTGCCAAGCTTTAATGCCTGCTGCTTTGGGGAAGGTTGGAAGTAGTGAGTGGGGATGGGAACCTGCAGCTAATCTATTGGGCTGTCATCTCTCATCTTTTGCATAACTCCACTGCTCCCAGTCCTCAGCTTTTCCACATCCATTCCTGCTTTGTGTGTGTAACTTACTTTTTCCCCCTGTATTACATCAGTGGACTGCACTGTCAAGAGCTTCAGTGTTTTTAAGCAGATGAAATTCAGAAGTTAGCTGATGCACCTGGTATGTCTTGTACATGCTTTATTTGCGTTGTCAGCCTGAAAACTCAGGAGAGGTTGGAGAAGAGTGTGCTAAAATGTTTATTGCACACTGAGCCTTACCAGGAAAATGTGCGTGTACACGTTAGGTTTTGTAGCAGCTATTTGAGCTTACAGTGATTTGAAATAATTCTGAGGCCAGATGCAGAGGAGCAGGGATGCTTCAGTATTTTCTTTTGCCCTTGAGATTGAAAAAGATTCTGAAGACAAATGGGTCTCTGAATGGAAAAGGCATCACCAAGGAGATACGCAGTCCCCGGCTTGCAAATAGCACTCATTATTTGTAATTCCTTAGAGGAGAATTACTTGAACTTTACAGAAAGCTGTAAAACCAAGCACTGGTAGATTTGAGTGCCATCCTAAGAAAAGCCTGGCGTTCTGCAGGCTTGTGTGTCCTGGCTGAGCTTTGGGGGGGGGCATGCACTAAAAATGACACTACCCTGGATATTTTTTCAATGTGAGATTTGTTCTTTTTCTTTGGATTGGCAGGGAAGTCTAGTTGGCCTGGTGGATTATCCTGACGATGAAGACGACGACGAAGAGGAAGAGACATCTCCAAGGAAAAGATCTCGTCTGGGTTCATAAAGGAAACCAAAACTTTGGAATAAAAACTTTTTATTACGGGGTTTCAAATGCTGCAACTGTTTTAAGAGCTAAAAAGAATCTGATTGAGAAAGCTTTCTCCCACGAGTACATGAGATAACGCAAGGAGTAGCAAAAGAAACTCGGTCTGTAAGCTAGAAAGGGTTAGTTCTGTAAACACAAGGCTTCCAAGGAACTGAATGTCTTTCTAGTAAGTAAGGAGTCTGCCATTCAGGCTGTCAAGAAAAAAAAAAAAAAAGAAAAAGAAAAAAAAAAAATGGGTTAGTATTCACAGAACCTGGATGATGGCTTCTCAGCAAGGAAAGTCTCAGGTGTTGGGAGGGCGTGGGGGGGAAGGGAACGATTTCTAAAAAAAAAAACTATTGCAGGGTTTCCCCAGTGTTTAACAGAACTAGGAAAAAAAAAAAAAATCAGGCTTAAATTTTGAACCCGGTAATCTTAATTTTGTAATGGTGCTGTCACATTGTGTTCTTTTAGCAATGCCTCTTTAAGAAAAAAAACTGAAAAAATGAAAAAAAAAAAAAAATTAAGGGAAAACTAACTGTATTTGCATAAGAACAATCTAGATTTTTGGGACCATTTATTACAAATGAAATTTCTTGTGGTCGGAGGGAGGGACACTGCATTTTTAGTGCATGCTGAGTTGTTTTGTTTTTGTTTTTTTAAAAAAACAATTAAAAATCAGTTTTAATTTCTATTTTCCAAGAGGATAAAACGGAAGCTGGATGCAGAATAGATGGTTCTGCTTGGTTGGTCGTTGTTTTTCTTTTTGTTCCCCCCAGCCCCCCCATTAGATATCCAGTAATAACTAAGCCAAGGACTGACTGCTTCCCAAACATCTGCAGGGACTGCTGTGTCACGGCGCTGCTTCACAGCACGCGCAGAGCTGTTGGCTGTGGAAGACACGGAATCGGAATCATTTTCTGCTTCATTAAAACGAGCTGCAGCTTCTCAGAGCAGATTTCCCTGTTTGCGACTTGAAATTGCGTAGCTGAGGTGGTATTGAGAAACACTAACGGGTTTTTCTTAGTGATGAGTTTAGTGGCGTTTAACAGCCAAGTCTGTTCGGACCAAGGTGGAATTCTAGGAGCAGAAGAGCGGTCTTTGGGGCAGAATCAGCAGGCAGCACCTCCGTCTGGGTGCGAGATGAAAGCTGCTTTTTAAAGATAGAAAATAAAAGTACATTCCACGTAGGTAAATGAACCGCAGCCAAGCTAGGTGAGCTGAGAGAGGCAAACGGTCCAGGGTTTTATTTCAAGAACAGAAAGCGAACTGTAAATATTTTAATGTTAGTTTGCCCATATGTGGTCTGAGATCATGAAGAAGGGAGAGGAAACTTCCCACCGCGTGATGTCAGAAATGTTTAAAAAAGAATGAGCTACGAAACCAGCTGCAGTCCACCACGTAGATCACTCTTGTAATGTGTTATGGGTCCATTTCTCCTGGAATAGTCTGAACTGAAGCAGTTTCTCTGTTTTGGAGATTTTGTAGTTAATTTTAATTTTAGCTATCGTTTGGAAAAAGATGGGCTGTCTGTGTAGATATGAAGTATAGTTTTTCCATAAAACAGAAGTTTATTTTGTATTAAAAATACCACTGTACTTGTTTTACACCATTTGTATACACGTGGTGATATTAATGCTGAACTGTACAATTCAGGAATTAAAATGTGACCCTGTAATTCCATAATTACTGCTTTTGTTTGGTTTGTTGTACACGGTAAGTTAACTCAGGATTTTAAATGTGGTCATTTTCCAACATTCTTTAAGAATAGCTGTGGTGCAGTTGTGGTAGTGACTCTGTGCTAGTAGAGAACACCTGAGTTCTTCCCACCTCTGAGCCAGGTGCTGCTGGATGGCACTCGTGTGGACCTGGGGATGGCGGTGCTGCGCCCTCAGCTCTGGACATGGAGGATCTGAATGTCCCTCACTGGTCAAAGCAGAGCTGCCTGCAGTATTGCTGGTGCGTGCTTGCTCTCCCGCTGACCACTGTCTCTCTTTCTTCTCGAGTCTTTTCTCCATCAGTAAAGATGATAAACCACCTCCAGTGCTACTCAAGCAGCAGAGTTGCACCGTGTGCCTTTACTAACCTAAGGCTGAAAAACTGTTACCTGGCCCGTGGACCCGGGCTGTCCTGATGCTCTGAACAGCTACCCGAGGCAGCTCCTCTCAGGCTCTGACTGAAGCGTGTCAGTGCTCACTCAGTGCTCCCCACCACGTCAGCTCTCTCCTCAAGTACCATCAGGAGCTTAAAAAATGCTTCAGACCAGCACGAGTTTTTTTCCAACAGCAAAAACAAGAACATTACCAACTTTTGCAGCTACTAGAAAAACTGTACCAAGGAGCATTGAGCTGTGCAGCTCACGGCTGGGGCTGTCACCTCGCATCTCGGCCCCCAGGGGTCGCCCACGGCTGCTTCCCCTGCACGGATCCTGCCGGGGCCCTTCCACTACCACTCCTTTGGGAAAAGTAAAGAACATCTGCCAACATGTATCAGTTATAAATGCTATTTTAATAAAAAGCTACACGGAATTTGAAGTGGTTGGGCTGTTTCTTTTAATGTCAGAGTTACAGTCAACAATGTGCTAAGGGCACCCTCTCCCGTGCTTCATTTTAAGTCTGCCAAAGACAAACTGGTAAATGATTTGTTTAAAGACTTGACTTTGGAACCAAATTGCTCTGGTGATGTTCCTAGTTCTTACTTCTGTTTTGTTCTTTAACTTATTCACAGCAAACTTGGATCTATGGTACAGGTAAGTGGCCTGGAAGGTGTGTACAGCAGCGTAACCTCCAGCTCTCCTCACTTCATGCTGCATGAGCTGTTCCTTCAAATACAAGATGGTCACAATAGCACTTCCATGTGAACTCAGACTCCATTACAGCCCAAAATAATAGTTTATTTCTGATATTCTAACGAACCAAATTCTATAATCTTTAGAAAAAGTTATTCAAATCTGTTCGTTCCCATTTTTTAGCTATTATTTTAACAGATAAATATTTGCTTTTGTTGTACATTTGAGTGGCTGAGGCTGTGAAACTGCCTCACTGTTGAGCACGTTCCAGTGAAAATCAGTGAGTTTTCATCATTCTGGAAAACCTGTTTTCAATGTATTTCAGCATAACTTCAAATATTTTATACAAAGTACAGAGTGAGTTGTCTGAAAGCTCTATAAAAACAAGTGCGAGATACTTGAAAACAAACCCGTTCCATTATTGGTTACAATTTATTCTAAAAGATGCCTATGTTCTTGAGATCTGCAATGAGCTTCTTACAATTACCGCTTATTAATAACTTCTTCTTTTAGTTTTTCTGCGAGCACTTTCCTCTTCTGCAGTAATTTTTGCTTCTCTTCTGAAACTTCCTACAAACAAAATGGCAAAAAAAAAAAAAATACTGCAATAAATAAACTGCACGACTAATACGTACTGCAGCTTCTAATGCTAACTGCTACCCAGGCAGCTGAGCCACAGCAGGCAGTGCTGGCAGAGACCTTTTTTCCCTGACAAGGAGCAGCCAAAGAGCATCACTTTCAGACCTGATGCTGCACGCCCACCCCTTCAAACTCGCTTGCAACCCAAAATGATGCAAAAAGTTTCTTTGTTTCTTGGGAAGCAGATCCTGCAGTGTCTTAACTTTACTGGTGCTGCTCAGGAGTTCACCCATCAACACTATGGGCACATCCTGAGCATATTAAAACGCTCAGCAATTACAAAACACTCCTGAGATGACAAAATTTCTTATCTTAAGTGGGTTCTCTTTGCTAAAAAGCAGCGATTTGCTTTTTAATAGCATTACTTCCTTTTTTAAGGTTTTCTACTACCTCCCTTATCCACATTGAGAGTTTAAGATTTCTTTTCACATAAACGTTACAAACAATGGGTCTGATAAAAACACATTACATCATATTAGTTATAATAATGATTAGCAGAAGGCAGAAGTTTTCTTTTTTCTCCTGATGCCTGACCTATACTGACAGCTTTATGCCAGTCTTTATGGCTGTACCTGCTTTCCTTGGCATAGCTGACTGTTTTTCCCAGATGTGATTTTCTATCACAAGGATTTCTGTGATTGCTGCACCTTTTGTATGCTAAGGAATGATGAGTTAATTCATTGACTGACGAGTCTGTCCTTGAGTTTATCTCCCTGCACTGCCCAGAATACTGTGTGTTTTACACAAGGCATTTGCCTAACAGACTGAAAAGCAGCAGCAGCCTTTTTTTTTTTTTTTTTTCTTTTTCTACTGTGCCTTATGGAAGCAGGATTTGATACAAGAGTGGCTCTGTTGTTTTCACTGATGTTTCTCCTTGCACTGAGAACTTGCTGTTACCATCACAGGTTTCACCTCTTTGCACTAAACATGCAAGGGCAAAGCCCTCTTTAAGAGAGATCTGCTGATTGTCCAAGTTGTAAAGTCAGACTGTGACAAATGCCTCAGTCATTACTGCAGATGGAACCAAGATGGTGACAGGATGACCAGCTGAAACAGCAGCAACACACCACAAGCCAACCAGGTGCTGCTGCATTTCAGTGTCTACCAACTAGAATAATGGGATGAGGATCTCTTGAAGACATAGGCTTATTACTACAGTCACAATTAAATCTTCTTTCTGAGGTGCAGAACTATCCCACAGAGCTCTCCCTGATACATCTGAACAGAGAATATGTTTATAGCTACCAACCAACACGGCTGGGAGACCATTCACATTTGTATGTGGGACAAAAACACCACAGAGAATGGAATAACTCTCCTGTTATCTCTACAAACTTACCAATCCCTTTCCTATAATTCTAATTCTTCCACAAGTATTTCCTTGTATTGGAGGCAACTGGATAGATGACAGCAGCATCTATTCTTCAGAGTGCCTTGCCTTTTTAAATTGCATTATCACATCACTTCTAGTCCAGTGGCTGATTTGTTAACCAGGGATTTATTTATTTGAAAAAGGAGCAAAACCCTCCGAGATCAGGAGAACTAAGCAAGTTTTTCTACGTAAAATTGGACTTTGCAAAATATATTTTTTTTCTGTCTTAGCTGGAAAAAAAATGGATTTAAGGAAGCCCAAATTGTTGGCCAAAGGATTAGAAGAAAACCAACACTCTAACAGTTCATAAACTTAATCAAGAGGATTTGGCAATACAGAGGTGAAATGCTAACTTAATGATTAAAACTTTTAGCCTGTACTCTTCTGCAAAGTGACCTGAAAATAGTTCCACTACTCCCACCACTTGCTCCTTTAATACTGCTACCACACTCAGCCACATCTTCACTGAAACTGCCTGACTGTTATAAAGCCATCAGGATGATTTTAAGTATTTGAACCCTTTACCTCTTTGGGAGATGGTTCCTCCTCCTTCTGGTCTGTGTTCGTGGGTGGTATTATATTATTTCTTGACTCTTTCTTTGCAGCTATCAGCATATCTCGTTTTTTCTTAAGATAGTCTTCCCGTTGTCTCAGCTGCTGCTCGTCAAGTTCTGGGGTATTCTGAATGTTTTTGAAGTACATTTGGAAATAAGACACATGACAAAATTAAGTTATGTATTCATTAAATAATAAAAGCCTGTACATCAACTTTGCCTCTCAACTAAGTAGCTTGTTTTCAGAAGCCAAGTGAAAACTTCAAGCCATAGCTGTCTTATTAAGAACTTACCACAAGGTTAAAGGCTGAATGCTAAGTTCTAGAATTCTACTCTTAAAAATGGAGTGGTGGTCTGAACTTCATGCAAATTAAAGTGCTAAATACGATAACAGTACTTGCATGCTGGTTAAAAGAAATGCATTACAATAACAAAAGACATATTATAAACATAATACTATTTTCTGTCTATTTTCTGTGTCATTCTAGGTTCTGTTTCAGGGGCAGAAGGCATTGCTGGTTGCTTTAAACTTACATGTCCTTCTGGTGCAGCTTTCTGTGCTGCACTTTCTGCACGTTTTCCAGATGCTCTTTTCTTCATGTCCTCCTTCCCTTTGGTGGGCTGAAGTAAGCTCTCTGGGCCTTTCTGTGGTGGGCGGACTGGTTTTAAGTCTGCCCTTGCAGATTGCCGAGATTCCTCTAAACAGCAATTTCCCATTAAAAAAAAAAACAGTAACACATCAAGTAAAGAATAAATAGAGGGTTTCCTCTAATATTAAGATCTCTCCTCTAAAAAAAGGGAAGATTTGCTTAAAAAGGGGAGAAAGTTGATTTTATATTCTTTTCATAAAACTCACCATCAAAAACCACTGGTAAGTAACGTATTTATACTACTAAGTAATGCTTTACATTAAAGCATCACTACTGCGATTATGAATTATTGTGAAATGCTTGTGTATGGGAACTGCTGAGTCACAGCCTGACCCACTGACTGAGCACCTGGGGAAAGGAGCTGGTCAGCCCTGGGAGCACAGGTGAAGGCAGTTCAGCTGTGTGACAGGAAGGGGTGGAGCCTGGCTGCACCTCTCTTAGACCCCACTGGGGAAGGATTTCTCTCTGCAGATCCCTCCCTGGTGAAGCTTTCCCCTGCTGACCTGGAACCTTCCCTTCAGATATGAGTAAGCCATCTTTTTTCCCTTCTCTTATAACATCTTTCTATCATGCCAATTCTCCCATCATATTGTTCTAACCTATTTCTACAGCTTGGAATGTAATTTCACACGCAGTATTCCAGTGGGCAGTTTATATCAAGATTATACCCTCGCTCTCTGTGTTAATTAAGAGTCAGTAATCAGCAGTCCACACAGCACGCTTCAGCCAGCTCCAAATACAAGGGTGCTGCTTCAGTTTTCAGCTTCAAAGAACAGAATCAGACAATACTTTTGTATTTAAGTGAACGTGTAAGGGAGAGGGAAGGAAGTGAAAACTCAAGGTGCAAGGCATTATGCTGGCCCCAAAACTGGGAGGTTACCTATTCAGACCCACAGCTTAAGATCTCATTTTCAGAACTGATCTTCTAGGATCCTCTAGGAGAGGATACACTAGAAGTTGACTTTGTGCCTGACATCAGCAGAGCTCAGAGCCCCAGGCAGGCTGGCTGGAGGCTGCCAGGGGAGCTTTGGGCAGGGAAGCTCAAGCAAGGTTCAGGTGACCCCAATGCCTTCCTTCCTCAATCAGCTCACTCACCTTGCCCAAAGCAACTGTCCTGAAAATACTGGTATCAATGCAAAAACACTAAGAGCGCAGTAAGAATTCTAGTGCAGTCTCTTTAAGTGTATTCTGTGATCTCTGAGTTAAGATGTGCAACTGAATGTAGCAAACTAGAATTCTACAATGATGCACTACGGCTTTTTTCAGTAATGTTTAGAAATAACTGGCATTAGTATTAAAGTATGAGCAGTTTCCTTGGCTTCTATCAAAGCACAGTAAGAGATTGCACTAGTGTCAGTGAAGCTAGGCTATGCTAAGCAAACAGCTGTTCACTGAGTTGTTTGTGGGTTTTTTGTTGCTGTTGTTTTAAGTTAAAGCATGGAATAGTTTAGTTTGATGCTGCTGGTTCTTTAGTACAGAAAATGATAATAACTGTGAAAAAAGCAGTGGGGAAAAGCAAAGGAGAGAGAATGCTCAAAGCACAGAAAACAAACTAGGAAAGAAATGTAAAGATGAAGAACTTGTGTTTCAGTGAAATATGTCTATCATTTTGTGATAAATGAAATTGCTTAGAGGTACCAAGAGAGCTAAAAGTGCTAGGAAGAATCTTCACACCAGGGCTGCCTTCTTTAAAAAGTAGGGAAAAAAGACCTGAAGAACACACACCTCATGCCAAACACCAGAACCAACACTATGAACAAGGGAAACTACTTACCAGGAAGTAGTCCTTTGAAATGTATTGTGTGTGTGTGCATTCATATTGTTTGCAATATGGACGGCAACACTCAAGCTGGAGATGTTTGTGTCCTAGCAGTACCTGTGGGATGTGATCATAGGACCCTCAGTTTCACATGACTCACGAACCTGAAAAGACACTAAGGAGACAAGGGAAGGAGGGTCGATGGCAAATGTACAAATAGACAATGTCTCAAAGAATTGTAATTGTACTGGCATATAATCTGTTCTTTCCTTTGAGAATTTGTCTATATGTACATTCACACTGTGGGTGACTAAGCTAAGCAGTGCTTTTTGATGTGGGCAAACACTTCAGTCTTCTCAAAAGGCAAGCACCCAGGACCACTCTAGCAGGTGCTGCGTCCTCATCTGTGCTGGATGCAAACACAGCTGGCAGGTATCAAGAAAGGGAGGTGTTCTTCAGGAATGCTGGAAAGGTCACCTGCACTCAACACTGTGCTGTGTGTGACTATTACTACGAAACTTACCTTCCTATCTCCTAGCAGTGCAAGAAGTTGGGTGGTCAGTGTACAGGATGAATGGTTTTGCAATCTCTCATTTGTGAACCACTAACAGGGTTCGCCGAAGTGGAAATTAAGAAGATTTAAGCAATTGCCATTAGCTTCAAATTCATTACATAGTAGAAAACTTTTAGCAATCCACCAAATGAAATTTGTGATCTTGAAGTGAAACTGTGTGTATGGGAACTGCTGAGTCATGGCCTGAACCTCTGATTGATCACCTGAGGCGAGCAATGAGTCAGCCCTGGGAGCACAGGTGAAAGCAATTCACCTGTGCTGCAGGAAGGGGTGGAGCCTGGCTCCACCTCTCCTAGACCCATTTAAGAGCTGACTACCAGTGGGGAAGGATCTCTCTCTCTCTTGGGAAGATCCACTCCACTGGAGTTTCCTGAGCGAGTCCACAACACGGGTAAGCATCCTATTTATTCTCTTTGTCTTGCTGTGCCTAACTCTCTTGCTTATTTCATTATTATAACATCTTAGTGTTATTTGATTATATAATATTCCTTTATGTAATTTTCATTGATTATACACTGTGTAAGATGATGAAAAGGCATATGGCTGAAATAAAAGAAATACATGCCTGACAAAAGATAGGGGGGTGCTATATTTTCCTAACTGAGGACTATTTTTGTGTAAGGAGTCACATTGCCAAGTTGATGCTCCCTTGGTATGGGATACCTCCCTCTTCTCAGATAAGAAAGGCAAGCTACTCTGTTCTGCGCTAAGGTGACTCTTCAAGTGAGAATACAGCCAGGATCTGAGAACAAGTCTGGTGGGTAGTGAGGGTCTGGGACCAAACCACACTGAGAAGAAAGACAGAGGCACAGAATGCTGTGCCCTTTCCTAGCATTGTATGTGGTACTATGCAGAAGAGACTCAAGCTGAAGTCATGACCTTGTTATCCAAGATGGAGCTTTAGGTGAGAGCCCGTGCTTTGGAGTTAGATATTAAGAGACTGAGCTAAAAAGCAGTCCTCAGTTCTGTATGAGAATAATCTGGAAGAAGATTCACAGTATGCACACTCCTTGATTTTATTTTTTTTTTGCCCTCACTACTAACTGAAACCACTATAACCAAACTGGAGGATAAGCTGTGACAAGCTGTCTTAGTAGCCTCTTGGAACAGGTGTGTTGTTGTATGATGCCAGCTCTACAAAGCAAGAAGATTCTCAAAGAGCTGTCTGACTTCTCATCTTTGGTGTTTAAGGAGCATTTAAATGCCCAGCTTCAGCTGAGCAGGCACAAGAACAGCAAACAAGTTCTGACTCCCAGGCTCCGAGATCCCCTGTCTCTCAAATACAGGATTAAGTCCTGCAGATCAGTAATCTAATGGTGCCACTGAAAGGTGGCATAACTATGCAAAAATAAGAGGAATCAGATCAGGCTAAGAGAAGAATACAAGTACACCTGCAGACCTTCTGCATTCTTCCAAGAGTGGAAAGCAGAGAATCAGAGTTTAAACAACTGTAACAAAATTTTTCAAGAAGGGCAGAAAAAATAAGGAAAAAAGATATTTCTAAAAGGTGACGCTCTTTTCTTTCACATTTCCTATCACGAAGGACACTAAGTCAGTTTTAAAGAACTGAGGGTCTGACAACCACTTCATGTATTAACGGCCAGAAATTAATGGCCATAAAATGGCCCAAGGATGCCCCACAGGTACTACCAAGGCTAAAAGTATCCAGCTCAAGTGTCTGTGATATGAAAACTTAGTGTGAATGCATACAAAGATGAGTAAAGGACGCATGGAAAAATAACTAAGGACAGCGCAGACTTATTTGCTAAAATTGGAACTGTATTACTGAAAGTGACCTCAGAATATCAAACTACAAATTTTTCACAAACTCTCTTTAAGAATAAATTCCACTGAGATGCAGTGCTTGTTTCTGAGGATCACCTGTGTGTGTGTGTATTTGTGTTGCACATCTACTATTGAACTTTCTCAAAATTACCTAATGATAACTTTGGAGTTTCTTCAGAACCATCAGCTCCCTCAGTAGACTCCTTAACTTTTACAGTTTCTCTTGAATCTCCTGGAGAACTGGTCACAGCTGGTGATTTGCATTTAGCACGTGCCTTAAATTAAAACAGCAAACAAAACCAAGCATTACAATTCCCATCACTGTATTCCAGGCATCAAACAACCAATACACAGGAAACTTGTGGAAACTCCTAATTAAAATGGTGTTGTTTACACTATGTATATTGCATTGTCAAAGTGAACAAAGCAAACTGCTTATTTTGTTTTACTGATAGGAATGTTTGTGCTGGCTTATAACTATAAATGAGCTTCTCTGTTTATTTTAGTTCAAAACTTATTCTCTAACCAAAAATCAAAATTGAGAACATTAGATAAATTGACATTTTGTTTCCCAGCTACAAATGGGTAACTTAGGGTTGTTTGTTTTTACTATGCTTTGCTTGTGACTTTCAAACAGACCTTCACCCACCATAGAAACATGTTGTACAGTAAGAGAACTTAGGAGCATATACTGAAGTTAGAAATAAACAAATAATCACCTGAATGGAAGTAATAGATTGGATGATTTCTGATGCTGCTTTACCTCTATGCTTGTCTGAGAAATCTCAACAATGCAATCCACCTCTGAAAAAGCTGGAAATCGCCCAGAAAATATCTATACTACTCATCAGCCCTCTGATTCATGCTTTTCTGTTGAGTTAAACTGAGTGAATTTGTATTAATTCTGTAGCCAGACTTCCTGCCAATGCTTTCCAAATAAGTTTTGCATTATTAAACTCTTATGGTCTGGTCCTATGACTGAAAGGAAGTAGCAGAAGATATCCCAATGGGATCAGTCATGCTAAGGTAAGTTTAAACAGTATTTTCCATGTGCTCTTTGCTATGTTTTTCTATGGATAGGAGGATTTAAGAATTCCACCTTAGAGCAAATAAAACTGATGTACCAAGTTTTATCTTTATGAATATGCAGAAGACTCTTCCAATAATTAAGTACTTTGGCTGACAGAATTACATATACTGGGAAATATGTCTTCAAAAAGAACCGCTAAATGGAATTAGATGTTGTAAACTGTGAAGTGCAGTTCATGAGGTACAGCTCCATGCATGCATTCCTATTCCAAGAAGAAACAGTTCAGTGGCTAGGCAGAAAAATGAGACACTACTGTAATCTGACATGTTTATCAAGAATACTGATGTTCTTTGCTGGTCTGTAAGGATTTGGATAAGCCTGTACATTCGGTAGAACATCATTTGTTAAAATGAGACAAAGAGCTTCTAGGTTTTGTAGAACAGGTGACTCATTTCCTGGAATGCATCATTGTAACATAGGAAACAATGTTTTTTTCACTATTTTTCTGCAGTGTCAGAGGATGGGAGTGGTTACTTTGGTAGAATTTCAGTAACATGACTATCATCTGCATGTGTCATGGTTTGAACTAAGGAACAAGCTTGGAAATGAAGTGGAGACCTCTGCAGTAGTTAGATTTGGCCTCCAGGTAGCTTCCTCTGTCAATCAGGCTGAAGAAACACAATACTTTCTCTTTTCAAATTTACCAGGCTCAATTTCCTATAATGGAAAAGAACAGAAAAGCAATTTTGCTCCCTTCTTAAAAAGCTTACAATTCTGGTGTCTTTTGTATAGTTGAAATATATTTTCCTGTTGAAGGGGAGATTTATCGACACACTTTCACTGTAGAAACTACAGCCATTGTAGTTGCTGCTGCTTCCTCAGAGAAGCCTTCCTCAGACTTCAATCTGCTAGCTTCCCAGTTGCTTAACAACTGGCAGTTCAGCCAGTCCCCACTTACATTCAGTTACCTGAGTGATGGTTTAACTTGGAAGGGATTTCTAGTTTCTGGTGATTAGTTCTGGCAGCACTGGGCTGACTTAATGAATAACTATAGTGTCTATGAAGCAATCCTTAACATTCCTGAGAGATTAGGAATACTGTAGTCACTAAGAAGCTTACACTTTGAAGTTCCTTTGATCTTGACAAAATTGGTAATTCACATGTTCTCTAAATCCGAAAGGCTGACACCCATTGCCAGAATCTTACAATTCAGGTACTCAAGGAATATGCTTATGAGCTGCATCAAATGACTGGTGAATACTGGTATTATACATGGCATTAATGTCAACGACACCATCAAGAAAAACGTAAACAACAGGACATACTCTTCAAAATGAAGACCTTATTGACAGAGCTTTTATTTGCTTAGGGTGGCATGTGCTGCCTTGGAGTGATAGAGTTGATGCCTGGAACAAGAATATTCAAAGTATCTCTCAATCCTCAGCATAAACCATCTAGAAAGATAAGATACTCACTTCTTCCATCCGTCTCCTTTCTTGCTCTATTTCATATTCTTCCTTAGATTTCCTGTAACACAAGACATAAGTTGAGACTTCTTTGGTACCAATGACTTCTACGTAAATTCAGCACTGCTTAAATAGTTGGAGACAATCAAATCAATTGTTGGATAATGTGAACAACATAATATGTCCAAAATACATTGGTTCCTCTGAAAGCAGTGTCTCCTATTTATTTCCACAGAAATAACAACAGATACAACGGAGCACAATGACACAATTTGGTAAATTCTCAGCTACAAAATATCTCTCAACACAATCACCACTAACTAAGCATTTTCAGCAGCAATGAAAAAGAGCCTGTGTTCAGTGCTCCTAAAGTCTTCATGACTGTCCAGAACATGGCTTGTCTTCCACGCCACTGTCACCACTGCTGATCATCAAGCACCTCGCTGTGCTAATATCCAGTGCCTGGTCTCCATAAACATTCAGCCAGCATCTATGAATTTCAGTGGGTGCAATTTTTTTTTTCAGTGTAAAGGAATCCAACGACACACCTTGGCTTCATATGTGCTTCTGTGTCAGATGCTATCTTGTCAGAGTGCCCCTCTGCTGCCATCTGTCATCTAAGCAACAAAATGTAACCAGACATTGGTGGGAAGGTTCAAACTCTACTGCTGTACTACCAACACCTGCCTCTGATGTTGTAGGCCAGCATCATAACACAGGAGGCATTTCTTTCAGAGCAGCCTACGTATTTTCATGACTTAAATGAAAATGCATTCTTGAAAGAGAAAACCATGATAGATGTACAGAACTCAGTTCTCTATCTTTCCCTGAGCTAAAATAATTGTATATGGATTTCCAGGGCTTGTCTATCTATCCATTCTTTGACTTGCTAAAGACTGAAAGTATTTCCAGAACACAGAGGGCAAATATAATATTACATATTATAAAATATTAATATGTTGTTATATATTACAAATTAATGTTATTATTTGTTTATGATTCTTTACATATGGGTGAACTGGGAGTGGAGGAGAATCAATAGAAGTTGTATCAGTCCTCATGCATCTTAAATCACAGCAGGAGACACTGAACACAACTAAGGAGGAGGCTGTGGAAATGAATTCTGCAGAAGCAGAATTTGCCTTTCCAAGGCTTTAAAGGACACAGAACAAAGTATGGTATCCTTGTTAAGGAGTAATAAAGCTGCTTTAAGCAGTGTTGATCGTATATCTCCAGTCCTGGGTTAAGAGTGCTCACAGAACAGCTTACAGCTAGTGTGCTTCTTTGTCCAAAGTCACTGAACACAGCTCTGCCTTGAGATTCAGAGGAGAATGGAACCAGTGGGGCTTTTAAAGTTGCACATCATTCCATGAATCACCAAGATGGTTCCACCATGGCAGTGATAATTCTTATGTCTTTAGATACCCTTGATCACATCCACTGTCTAGCACAATTCATTTTTCTCATGCCATCTGAAAGCAGTTTCCCAGAAAAAGCCTGACGTATTATGTCCTATATCCTTTTATTTTAAAGGAAGGTGGAAAGCAGGACTGATTTCTTATTTTACCTTAGAACCTCCCTGAGTATTTTCATTTCTTCTTGTTCAATTTCACTGAATACATCTGAACCCTCTGTCAAACAGTCAGGCAACACACCTACCAAAAAATAAAATGCATTACTCTAAAGAAAGTTATTTTGTACTCCATTGGCATCAGTGTTCAGACAAAGATGAGAAATAAATCTTGTTCAGATAAAAGAGAGAAAGAAATAAATATACCTAATCCTTCCTTACTGTAAATTGTTTACAAAATGATTCTAGATCCTCAGTATCAAGCTGCAAGTAGCAAAAAGGCAAAAGTTTCTGAAGTAAAACAGGTTTTGATATCTGAGGGCAAAACATAAGGCACAGTCTGCATTGATTGTTATATGGTATTTCCTGCAGACTATAAATCAACCATGGTTAAACAAACCATTTTCAAATCTAGGTGTTGCATTAAACTTAAAATTTAAGAATTATTCTGTGAAAAAAACATGCACCCAGTAAGACAAAACAAAGTAATAGCATTGAAGACAAGGATGAAAAGAGGGAGCAGATAAAAAATACTTCGAGAAACATCAACAGAGCAGTAGAGTTGGGTGTAGAATGCATTTCCTTTAACAGCACTTATCTATTACAATAATGAAGGCCAAATTTCTGCTCTATGGATCTTTCATGTGCAAATGCACAGTGTGTACTGCAGGGTAGGCGTGACAGACCAACACTTATCTGCAAATAGCACAGTTCAGCTACCAGCACTATTGCTGTTGATAATCTGATGCAATTAACACTCAGCAAAATTCTCTAGCAAAAAACAGATCAAGTTTCATCCAAAATCTTAGAGTTCACAATCTGTTACTTGAAAAAGGAAAATAGATTGCTGTGTCTGAGAATATAATCCAAGAACTAAATATTGAAATCCTGGTCTCAGTAAAACCAGCTCAGTGTTTTCCCTTAACTTCAACTTCAGCATTCTGTTTTCATTTATAACTGGATTACACAGCCTTAAAACAAACAAACAAAAAAAGTAAATGTGAGGCTTCTTTTTTTTTCTTTTCTACTTCTTACCATTTCTTTCTTTCATGACTCTAATGGCTTGCAATTGCATTTCAATATTTTTCTGTACCATCATTTTTTTAAATAGTCTAAAATCTTCTGCTGCCAGCACTGTCTGCAAAATGGCCTGTGGGAGGGAAGGTATGCACAAATTAATTAAAATACAGAAATCAGAACCTTCTCAGTTTGCTGGAAATTATGTTAAAAATTAAATTCTGTGGAACTTGTTTTTAATAACTCTATCTCATTCTTTTATCTGTCTACTTTTTCTAGCTATGTAAGTTGAGCTTGTAGACAAGAAAAGAGTTTGAGGGTTTATGTCCTTGGATCATCATGGCTACATACTATCATAAAGCCTGGATGGTTTCCCAGTATAACTTTACAATCACAATTTGTTGGATTTCTTGAACAAATCTGTAAGCTTAAGCAAGGAATGTGCACTCTGACAAACCTTGCTGGAGGAGATATTTTCAACAAAGTACTTTGCAGTGGCAGGAGGAGCTCCCACTTCTCTGCCCCACACACCTGAGACAATTCCTAAAGATAACTTTCAGCAGGTGAAGCAGTACAGAATCATGCCTTGTCTTCCCAGGGCAATCTCTGTCTTACAGATTTTACTGTTTTATTACAAAATTGGAGGAAAATATCTTTTGCTTTTATGTCTGTTTTTTTTAATCTTCAAGTTTTTCTGCTACCATAAATGGACTGAATGCTACCATAAAGCTGACAAATCTGCAAATAAAGGTAGGTGGCAGACATACCTTTAAGCTTAGAGGTTTGGTTTAGAAAGTACAAAGCATGGAAGATAAATCTCAAAAGAGTGACACCACACAAGTGTCTGCTGCTATTTTAAAGATGCACATTTTGCTGCTCAAAGTTCACAATATAAACAGGTACATTAGGTTTTAGAACATTAAAGTTTGGAAAAGAAAGCTTTTCAAAAACGTACGTTTGCATGTTCAAACATGCATCTGTGGAAAGACAAAGCTAAAAAATTAAATCCATGCATTCCTTAACAAAGGAAAATATACCTGTGAAGTGTGAGTCTTTGCAAGAGGAGATGAAAAAGCTTCCTGAAATTTCTCTTCAGTAATGCCAACTTCTGTAAGATAGCCTTCTAATAATTTTTCAACCTGTAAGAAATGTAAGCCTTACTTTCTAAGAGATTTTTCCCTGAGAATCGTGGTGTTTTTTGCCCAAAACTGTATCTTCTTTCCTGTTGCTGCTGTGTTTTTTAAAACTCACAGAGAAATGACTGCAATAATATGACTGATTTCTCTGATACTTCTGGCTTATTTGCTTTCATAAGCTGTTTTAAAGCAACACTGGTTTTTTTTGCTGAAACTGGTTATTGCTTAATTGAACCTCTCCAACTTCCAGGGACCTCACCTCTCTACCTTCTCTCCAGACTCCCAGCTGATATTCCTCACCATTTGTACTTTTTAAGTAAAAGGATTTTTTTGCCAGTCTGTGCATCCAATATCCTTCAGGATCACAGCAGAAATCACTGCTGGCCTATATTCATTCCACTCATGGTTCTTGATATCAAGTACTACCAAGCCTTGTTATAAGGAAATGTTTTAGAAAACTGTGTGCATTGATTATAAGTATGCTCCAAAAGCATTCTGTATTTTATTCTGATACTTGAAATAATTCAGTAGGTTTACTGATCTCATAAGGAAACAAGTTTTACATGTTTTCTAACATTGTGCTGTTTGTCATTTTAACTTTCCATAACATGTGAAGGCTCTCAAGCTTATAAAACACAGTATTCTAACTAGCCAACGCACTCACATTAAGGAAAAATAGGTAACACTGGGTAAGAAAATATAACATTTCTGTGCTTACGCCTAAAAATGCACTGATAAGCATGACTGAAAGAATATCCAAATAACACTCATGGCATGCAACACTAGTAAATTCCGAATAACAAATACACTGCACATTCTTTCTTAGAATTCTACCACTAACAGTGAATAACACTCACCAGTGCTTGGTATTCCTGATAAATTTCTGTGTAAGACAACTTGCTTTCTTCTTCATCGTCAAAAACTGAAAAACACACATCTCTGAGTCAGTGCTTCAAGTACCTGTACTTCCAATACCAGCGCCACAAATTAATTTTCCATTTAGAGTAAGACTGACCTTTACAAGTTAATACATTTAGGCATCTGACAAGGTAAGACATGATCAATAATAAAAACCTACTTATTCCCACATTCAGGCTAACCATGTACTTGTGGTAATTTACTGTAAGACTTCTAACTTAATACTCGAAAAATGCATCTTCACAACAGAAGAGATGTCTAAGCAAGCTGAGGATTCAGCAGATAGATGCATTAAGAAGTAAGATTTAATGTAAGAACTACCATGTGAACTTGCATGAGGCTGTTCTAATACGGCAGTTGACATTGAACCAGGTTATTTATCTCTGCACACATCTAAATGAAGGCTGTGCTAATGACTTGAACCTTTATTTTAAATGCTGTTCACTGACAAGAAGCTGGTGTGATGCAGGAAAGAGAGATCCTGCTTGCAAAACAATTGAGAGAAAGCCCCAAAGAGAAGATTTGGTGCTGGTAATTTACTATTACTTGCTAAAATTTTATCTACCCTGGTCCAGATAAAAATGGGAATCCATGCAGCAGGTGCCATTATTATCCACGTAGACTCACATTAACATTAACAACTCCTGGCTGGAAATACCAAGCTAATGATTTCTGTACCACAGAACAGAAGCAGCAGAAAGCAAGAGAAATGCAAGACAGGAGGTTTTACACTTACATTTACAATTTGCATTTTTATCATGTCAGCAATGAATAGAAGTAATGTAAAACCTAGCAATTAAAGCAGAGGCTTAGAAGTAAGACATCGTCAGTTCCCTTCAAGATTAGCCACTCCACCTTGGACAAGTCACTGCCCATTTGCATGCTTTGAAGTCATCTGAAGAATAGGAATTCTGCCTTACCAACTGGTGAGCGGGTGCGATTTTTTTTGTGACATCTGCAATAGTGATGGCATTTGTGTGACAGAATTAGTGCAACTCTCCCAGTAATTTACAGTGATTCTTAGAAAGATCATTTTCCAGCTGCAACAACTCTGAGGCAACGTCAGTCAGAACCTAGATGTGATGTAAGATGGTTGCTCCTAACAGATAGCATCAATTTATTACAACATGAAGCAAATATCAAAATCTAATCAATCAGTTCTGGCCCTCTAAGTAACATAAGGAAGCTGGCTTTTCAATAGATAGAATTTGGAAAGCCAACAGTTGCTTTTGTTTCATTTCTCTACCTAGGAAAATGTTTTTTTTTCCCATATCATTTCATTAAAAAAAAAAAAAAAGAGGTTTCAGAAGTGTATAACAAAACATTCAAATGGTAGAAAATGCTTGTTCCACAAAAATAGTACTATAAATCCTACTTTTAAAGTAAAATGTCAGTTTCTATATTGACCACCTGTGTGGGAACTGCTGAGTCACAGCCTGAACCTCTGATCCATCACCTGAGGTGAGCAATGAGTCAGCCCTGGGAGCACAGGTGAAAGCAACTCACCTGTGCTGCAGGAAGGGGTGGAGCCTGGCTCCACCTCTCCTAGACCCATTTAAGAGCTGACTTTGGAAGATCCACTCCACTGGAGTTTCCTGAGTGAGCCCACGACATGGGTAAGCATTCTATTTATTCTCTTTGTCTTGCTGTGCCTAACTCTCTTGCTTATTTCATTATTATAGCATCTTAATGTTATTAAATTATATAATATTCCTTTATATTTTCATTGATTATACACCACCATATTACAAACCCAAGATGGTGAAGATTCTTAACTGCCTCTATTGTCTTCTGCATCTCCTTCCCCCTGGGGATCTCTGTGATAGCCATTGCAGGCCCTAACCTTTGTCTTTATGTCTCCCTTCCCTTCTACCCCCTCCTGCTCCTTATCCCTTGAATACCCAAGGGCTGGAGAAGGGACCTCACTGCTTCTCCCTGTACCAAAGAGACTGCCTCCAAGTCCTTTTCCTCACACAGTTCCAGGACAACATGGAAAGCAGAATGGAAAGCTTCCACAAACTGCTGTTTTCAGAGTCTGAACAAAAAGAACAAAGCTAAATGTCAAATAAAGCAAGTAAGGGTCAACATCCTCTCTGTGTTAAACTGCATTAAGGAATAGTGTATTGGAATGGGGATCCTGGATTTTCTCAAGTTACATCTCCTAAATCATGTAATGATCTTTTTCCTCTAGGTTTTGGCTCTGAGTTTTGGTCACCAAACAGGAAAGACCTGAAGAACCCAATATACCAGGACAAGATGGGAGACCCAAATGTCCTTGGAGACAAACTCAGCATTTTCCTGCTAAAATTGAAAATCACTGCTAGCAAATTCCTCAAACAGGGTGACACTTATGTGAAGTTTGAGTCCTCCCTGCTGGGACTGAGCTGACTCATCTGCACTCACAGACACAGTAAGTACGAGAGCTCTTCTGTTCCTACCCCCAGTCCCACCCCCAGGTGGAAGTCACAGCTACCTGCTGCTGCTTTTTGTACACTGTCTTTACCCTCCAGTCTTCAACATTATTGTCAAGCTCATTTATCTACAAGCAATATTTCAATTTAAACCTTAGAATATCTGAGTAAAACAGAAAAGCCCCTGCCCTTTAAGGCATGCCCACAGACTGAACTTGAGTTCTGCAGCCACAGAAATGGAAATTAATGAAGCCATGAGAAATTAGTCAAGTCCCCAGAAAGAGGGAGGGAGAAAGCAATGAATTAGCAACAGATACAACAATAGTAGGATCACTCCTACTAAATATGCAAAATAATTGCATACCCGTTATTAAAGCTCGAATTCTAGTTTTGAGGAATCAGAAATTGACAGTTAATTGAAAAGATGTCTTTTTTTTTTTCAGTCCAAAGGCTTTGAACGTTTTGAGAACAAAAAGAATTCTGCCCTGACAAAACACTTCAGTAACAGTGGTGGAATTAGCATATTTATGGAAAGGAAAAGCAAACAAGCGCAGAACTGCAATCAGAAGTTTGCATTTCTTCAGCTGTGCTTCTTAGCAACACTAACACTGCAGCAACACTTCCTCAGCCTTTTCTTTCTTCTCAATAGCTGCTGGGAGTTGTCCAACGAAACCCTGGAAGACCACTTGCTCCCATTTCTCTACTTTGCTCCTCTAATTTCTTACACAGCAACAAACTGGCAGGGGGCCATTATATAAGCCCGCTTCATGGAAATTTACAGAGGTTCCATAAATCTTCTTACTGCCAGTAAATTCCACTCAACCTTCTAAAGGAGAGATCACTGCTACAGAGAGGGATAATGCGCACCCTGATTCCTGAAACAAGAGAGGCAGCTCCCACCTATATCCCACTTCCACGGCAATCAAAACGCCTGAATGGCAAGAAGTCTGAGCAGACACTGATGCAAAAGCTCTAGCCATGCTTTCTCTGTTGCTTCCATGTGGCAGACTGGTAACTTTACCTGACCTTCTCATTTATCAGTGTACCAGGGAAAGGTGTGAGCGCCCACAGCGATCTTCAGAGGTCACAAAGGGTGGAAACAATTTCCAGATTCACAGCAGCCCTACAAGCTGCTGCACAGCACAAGGTGACAGCATCTGGAAGCCTTTGTGTCATAAGGTCACTGTTTCAGTGTTAAAACGTATCGATGATGGCTTAAAGGATTCTCCTCAAATAAAGCACTCCTTTTATTGCATGCTGAATAACTCAGGATAGGCAACTGCAACCAGCTTTTTATTTTATAATATACCTTCACCATCACTGGGGGTTTTCCACACTCATCTGACACCTGCTTGAACAGGTATTTCGCCCAGCCCTCCCAGCATGCTGAGGCTGTGGGGTGACAAACAACAGCCCATACAGATGATCAAGCAGGCTGCCTTTACCCAAACCTCTTAATATGTCTTAGTTTTCCTTCATATCGTCCTCCTGCTTAAAAACACCCCGTTTTTAGATACAGCTGACGGAACGAGCCGCAGCTTTAGCACGGCAGCTCCTCAGGTGCGACCCGGAAGGGCCGCATTTTATTCCACGTACCGCACAGCGATGCCTTCAGCTCCTGAGCGCTGTGGTCCCGTGCCGGCCTACCTCACCAACCCGCACCGAAGCGGGGCCGCCCCGTCCGCCCGCCCGCCAACCCGGCTCCTTCTCCGCCACGAAGCGCCTCAGCGCCCCGCCGCTCACCCTCGCACTTCTGCTCCATGAACTCCAACACGGGGACGGACCAGGCGGGCCCGCGGAGGAACCCGGCGATGCTGTCTACCACCCACTCCACGTCGGCCTCCTCCTCCTCCGCCGCCATGGCCGGGCAGCCCAGAGCGGCGCCGGGTTTGGGGTCGGGGGTCGGGCGGGTGGAGCGCGCACGCCTCGCCACGGCAACCGGCGTCACGGGACCAACGCGCGCTCCCGCGGAGGGGAGCGGGGCTGGGCGTGTGGGGGGGGGGTTATGAGGGGAGGGTGGAGGACGGAGGGCTGCCCTAATGGCCTATGGCCGTAATCAGATCATGGCTTTAGGGGAGGGGCGGTCAGCAGCCACAAATGCGGCGGCATTAAAAGATAGACTGGAAACGAGGCCTGGAGTGAGGTCACCGCTTCACGCGGCGCCGCGATCGCAGAAGAGACTGCGCGTGCAGCGGGGCTGAGGGGAGGGGATGGCAGGGCGGGAAGGCGGGAAGGCGGGCGCGGTCCTCTGCCGCCTCAGCCCCCCGCCGCCTCCTCAGCCCCCCGCCGCGAACGGCAACCATCTCTGAGTCCGCTTTTTTTTCCTTAAGCAACATTAATTCAGCCACTGTCCTTCCCCCGCGGCGCGGCTGCAAGGCTGAAGTGTTCTCCTTAGTGTTTAAATGTATTCACACACACGCCCCCCCTCCCCCCCCCTCGATGCTTTGCTGCTTCTGCGTAACTGATAAGTTGGGATGTTTTTTACACGCGAGCGATTTGTTTTTAAAACCCAAACGCCTGTTGTAAATGTGTTTATCCGCCGTTTTTGCTTTTTTGCTCAAGTACTGTCGCCATCCTGGTTGCCTCAGGCGATATTCTTGTTCTTAAGACTATCTCTTGTAGACATTGATGAGATTTTACCTGTGCATAGATGCAGTGCTGCGTGCCAATTAATTTATTGCCATCTCAAAAAGAGAACAATTCTATGCTGTCTTCACTACCTGGTGCCCCTTTATGATAGCCCACCTGTGCTTCCATTTCTGCACTCGGTTCTGTGGTCTGACCCCATTTGTAGCATAAAGCTTGCCTCCTGTAGAGCAGCCACTTCAGATTTGATGGTTGGCATGGTTTAATTACGAATTCAGACTTACATGATTGTACAAGCATGTTCACTTCTTGCACACGCCGCCCGCTGTATAGGAGTAGCATCATTTTAAGTTTGCTCAGTAGCTGCCAGTAGTCACCTGTGTTGGACCAACCAGTAGAGAACACTGTCATTTTTTCTACAGTCTTTTGTGCTTTTTTCTAAAGCCCTTTCCACGTCTTGCAATGCTGAGCAACTAATGTCTCTAGAAAATAAGTTGCTTTATGAGGCGTGTGTTGTACTTTCACTGCAGTAATTTCTTCCCTTAGCATCCCCACCAAGGCCATGATGAAGGTAGCTCTTCCAGTGTCAGGTAATGGAGAATGTGACACCACGTCCCCACCTCAGCTCTTGAAAGCCTTTCTCAGCACCCATATGGTGCTGACAAGTACTTGCTTGATGCTTGATGACAACTTTTGTAAGGCAGAGGCAATGAACGCCCAACATGAAACAAAACTGGCAAAATGGAATAGTGTAGGGCTCAGACCGTAATAGCCTGGAATTTTATGTATTTCTCTTCCTTTGAATGATGTAGATAAGAACCCATAACATAAACGCCGACTTGGAAACTCAACAGTATCTAGCATTCAGATGTGACTTTGCAAAAAGTGCAGTATATATTTCAAGACACTTGGTGATTTGCCCAGCCTATCAGAGAGCTCACAAAGTGGATCTCATTTATCAGAATTAACTTGAAATCTTGCGAGTCTTGTGATTTCTCAAAAAGCTACTGATACTGGCATAAATTGTAATAGAGATGTCATAAGGCACAAATACCCTGTGTGCATCCCACAGCTGTGCACATATCAGTGTGTATGACATGCCAAAAACATGTGTTTCCTTGCTTCTGCTAACAGTATGCTTGCCTCTACAGGTATCAGCTGAAATGTTTCTAATACACAGTTCTGACAGTGAGAAAAAACTGCTTGTACTTTCAGCACAGGTAATCTTATTTTTCACTTTTAATTTGTTGCATAACATTTAAGGCATTTCTGAAAATTGCTGGAGTAATGAGGTTGAGGAAATTCTGACCGCTGTAATCAAAATCATTCTCGCACTTCACGTGAAACTGCCAAATATTATGTTCTGCTTTCAGAACACTCAGTCTTTCGGGGTTTTTTTTGTTGTTGATAGCATGAAAGGTAGAGGAGGAAATGCTCTCCTGTCTGCTTCACAAAACAGCAGTTACTGCTTAATTACCTGTCCCCTCTGTACGCATTGCTTTGAAAGACATTTTGACATACTCTCGGGTCATTGCGTTATATATACACCGATGAACAAATGTGACAAGCCTTTCCAGTCTCTGCATTCCACTGAATTCTTTATGTCACCCAATTCTTTTCACCTTCAATAGGTTCCACTCATATGCATAATGTAGTGAATCACAGAAAGCCCAAAACATCTTTTCTTCAGTCTCTTTAGTGGAAGAATTCTTGCACAGTTTTATTTATTTTTCCCATGCAGATTGGGGGAAAATATGCAAATACATAGTTTCTGTTACTTTATTAATGGCTCCTTGAAGTTATTTCTTACCCTAATGTGCTAAGTATAAAATTAAGCTTATTGACAATTGTTTTGTGTCTTTAGAACAGAAGTAATAAAAATCAAAATATAGTCCAAATCTGAACATAGTCTGTCAACCCATGAAAATGTTACTAGATGGCATCTCGTGGGTATAATTGAAGCCTGCATTCAGTGGCTCAGCTAACTCCTTTCTTGCATTAAAAAATAAAAATGAAAAAATGCAGTAGCACTACTTGTAACTAATAAATATTTTCCTCTGGAAAAAAAAATAGCCTTGAATAAAGCCTGTAAGTCCAAGAAAAATCAGTTCAGATAGCAGTTTTGATTGAATCTTGAAATATCTATTGCTGTCTGTCTCTTTGCATTACATTTAATACATTTAAAATACAGAAAATACTATGATGTTCTCCTGTGTTACTTTTTAAATTTCTACATAGAAACTCAAGCTCAAACTGTGACTTCTTAAGGCTTCTATATTTGTGTGGTTCACAAATATTTAAGCTGTTGTTTTTACTCCAGAGAAGATGGAGCAGAGCTTGTGATGACAGTGGGGCAGCTCTGAAGCATTAGTTCGTAAGGCTGTGCTGTGTGACTGTTAGCTTGCTCACTCAGATTCCATGCTTGCATTTACTTCTTCTGTGTGACCTTTCCAGAGAGAAGCAGCCTGAAGTCAGTAGCCAGAGGATTTAAGAGTAGCACGTTTCTATTGTCTGAGAACTCAATCAAGACCTGCTTCTTGACCAACCAGCTGCAAAATATTTATAGTGCAAAGAGAAGAGGCATGGTAGTCTGTCTTATGACAGCAAGATTGTGCTCCCAAAAGAATCCATTCTTATGTAAAATAATGAAAAAGCTATCTACGAAGCACTGTCTTCTCATATGTATTTTGGTTCACTGGGCAAACATTATAGTCAGAGCTAAAGTTCCACATCCTTTTTGTCATAGAATCATAGAATCCCCAAGGTTGAAAAAGACCTCTGAGATCATCCAGTCCAACTGCCCACCTGTCACTAATAGTTCTCATTAGACCATGTCCCTCAGCACAACATCTAAACATTCTTTGAACGCCTCCAGGGTCTGTGACTCTGCCACCTCCCTGAGCAGCCCATTCCAGCACCTCACCCACCACTCTTTCAGGGAAGCAGTATTTCCTAACATCCAACTTGAATCTCCCCTGGCACAACGTAAGGCTACATACATAGGTCTCATGTTCCTGGCACGTATTTTTTTCACTCTTAGGTTTTTCTGTGGTTTTGGTTTGTTTATTTGTTTTCTACACAGGAACATATGCAAAAAATACTAAAAATGTTTGTTTTTCTATTCTTCATTCTTCCATATTTTGCACCAGGAAGAAAGAGTATGTTCTAGCAGATGTGGGGGGTTTTATGTGCATCATTTAACATGCACTTAGGAAAGTGCTTTGTCCCTACATAAAATGTTTAATTGTTTGCCAGTATCAGATGCTTTTGGCACCCAATTTAACACATGAACATTCTCATCTTCTCTCCAGTAATATTCTTCAGCCTGATAGGCAGCATTAAATTTGACTTTTAGATAGAAGGTGAAAAGATAAAACTCTAATTGGAGCCCTTTTATTTGCAATTACTTATTGATGGAGTTTCTGTCAAGCATTGTATACTTCAGTGACTTCATTGTATTTCAGTCAAAGATAAAATAGAAGTGAAACTAGTTCTAAGGAAAGCAAACAGGGTAAAAAAATTACATATTAAGCGAAGATGACCTAAGGCAAGGTGAATTCTGTGTTTTGATTTGAATCTATGTACTTTGTATTCTAATTGTTTCTGGCACCAAGTTCTGCAGCCCTGAGGAAGTTAATGAAATAAATGAATCAATACATTAAAAAGAAAATCCCTGTCCCTTTCATTTTGAAGTAGACACTGACGAAGGTGAGAAAGGTAGCATGGGAAGTCCAAACCACGGAGCATGAAGCTGTGTCAATAAAGGTAAGAGATGCTTAGAAACCCTGTGCAAAATGCTGAAATTCAGTGACCACCACAGACACGAGCATGTTGGTTATTCTTCCACTTGTTCCATGTGCGTGGCAAAAATGGAAATCCTCTGAAATAACTAACAAATTAAGTTGTTATGGATACTGCAGTCATCACTATCTGAACACAAGAAATCTTTTGGTAGGAGGCTACACAGCTAAAGATCAACTCAGAGAATGTTAGAACAAAATAAGCCATTTATCTCACGACATCTCCCTTCTCCATTTCTTCTTCCTTCCCAGAAAATCAATACTGTAAGACAAAAGGGGCAAAACATCTGGTTTGGGAAATTGTGCAAGTGACAAAACCTGGCATATGCATACATGCACAAACTTCTGACATGGACCAGTGCTGGAAAAGGAAGATCTAAGAAATATAACTTTTTAAAAAGATTGCTATATTGTTATAGACTTATGTTTTAAAATTGTTCAGAAGAATTCAAGGACCTTCAAAGCAACAGTTAGACTAAGGTTCGGTCCTCACTTCAGCTGGTACTTGTTTATACAAGGTAAGCCAAGTCAGGGAAGCCAATAGGAAGGACCCAACCGAAACAAACACAGTCAACGGTCCCACAGTTAGGTTATATGAAAGATCTGAGACGTGGCTGTTCAAACTCCCTGCACTAAATTAGGAAAGCTGTTTTCCTACAGCTCTGGACTCCAATGAAACATTGGATTCAATAAGATAGAATCTTTCACCTATCTTGATAAAAATCCCAGTCCTAAACCAGAATCCACTTTGCTGAAGATATGGGGTTCAAATGCATTATCTTCTAGCTGTTTCAATGAAAGATTAAGAAATGGTTCTCTAAACTGTCAAAGACTTCTTCCGATGGAAGCAAGCAGTGATGAGAGTGCAGGGAGAAAGGTGTGGAAGCTGGCACATGTGCAATTACAATCAGGAGCCAAGAATGGAACCGAAGAGTAAATAATTGACCCTGCAGTTGTGACATGGGGCTGTTTTATAAATCAGACAAAATTTCCAACTGTGCTTTCATTGCTTTATACTGTTGCCATATTCCAGTCTAAATATTTTACTATGTGTGTAATCGTGGCCAAGTCTAAATCTAAATTCCAGAAAAACACTGTGTTGAAGCTTACTGTGGTAATAGTTCTGAGTGTTTTGAAGTGTTTAACTCTTCTCATGAGTGATTCTTTTGTGTACAGGTTATTCTTGGTCAAATTTTTCAGCCAACAACTCATTTCAGTCAGACATTCACAAAGCCAGGAAATGTTTCAGCACAACTCGACATTTTTAATTACGAAGAAAGGCACAACCCTCAATTAGTCCACAGATGGAAGAAGAGGTCAGAAGTGTCTGTCAGCAGATTGTTGCTGACTGCATGAAGGGTTCTACCTCAACAAACAAAGCTGCATGGCCTGGGCCACACATCTGTGTCACACAAACAGAGGCATCTTCTGCACCCAGGTTTGGTACAGGTTTGTAACATGCAGCAGTCTATCTAGTGGTATTGAAGGAATTCCTGGCATTTACTATTTCTCTCCATGCTTTGAGCTGCTGTAAAATAGTGTAGAACTTCTCTGTAAGATAATACTGTATTTCAGTCTCACCAGCAATTTCGCATAATCAGTATAATTAGATTAAGGTTGATTACTGTGTAATGGGTCAAGGGCTCTGAAGATCGCTCTGACCGGAGTTTTGTCATTTTCCTTGTGAGCTGAAAATAAATCCTAAGCATGAATGCTATCTGTGACTTCAACATTTTAAATTTCAAGTAGGGTGCTTTTCTTCTCATAGGACGCTGTTTCTTTCAGCAAGAACTTGACTGTCTGGGAGAGAGAATCTGTTTTTCTCTGCCATAGAACAGGTAGTCTGAGTTCCAGGCATTCAGTAAGAATTGCCTCTTAGAATGCAGGACCTGAAAAGTCACAGGTCCATCCCAAATCTAGTGGAAGCAAGATGATACTGTTCCAGCGAATTCAAACTATTTTGGTGCTTTTAATGAAAAATTAAAATGAAGATCCTGAGATTATGTAAAAGCAGTGATAAAATTTATTCATGGCATCATTTCTCCACTGTGGTTGATGATTTGACTCAGTTTTGGGAGGAATTCTTTTTGCTGAAGATCAGCACAGTGTTCAACAGTCTCTAGATATAGCACAGTGTGTATACATAATATATATTTATACACACAAAGATACATAAAACTCAGCAATTTATCACGTTCTGATGACTAAAAAATGTTGACAGTAGCAAACTGCCTAGTTTAGCATACTGCAAAGATGTAGATAGCCTTATAACCTTAACTTTATAACCTTAAAGACTGAATGTAACACATTAGAACACTTTAACATCTTGTCCAGACTACAGTTCTTTTTGCCTGAAGTATCAAACCAAACTGTTATGCTTGAATTCTGTAGGACTGTGCCTTATCAGGTCAGGTCCCTGTCCCTGTCCCCTGTTTATTGTATTCCAGAATTCTTTTAATAGTGAAGATGTATTGTGGGTTTTTTTTTTTCCACTCTGTTGGGGAAACGTACACGCTTCTCTATAGCTCTTCTCTGATACTTGTATGATGCACATGAGACATTTTATGTTTCTAAGTTCCTTCTGCATAAGAGATTGGTGTATTATTGTAGTTCTGAAGTTAATTTCCAGCCTGGTTTAGGTAGCCAGCAGTTTGCCACAGTTGAGCACCAAATAGCCTCCACTTCCTAAAAAGTTCCCAAACAATGGCAATTCCGTGGGGTGGCTTTGAACCGTGTGTGAATTGGTTAAGAGGACCAGCCTAAAGCTACTCTCAGCTACAATTCTTGAACTTAATATATGGTACTCTCAGCACCATCTACTGATTTTATTCTATTGTACTGAATACGTAACAAATACAGCTTTCATTTTGGCCAGAGTCTGAGCTGTGAATCTTGCTGACAACACAGCGATATTTTAACTCCTTCAAAGCTGAGGGATATGACCCTATTTTTGACTTTTTTCCTAACTATGAATCTTGTTCTCATAATTGCCTTAAGAGAAGATATACTGATCCAAGTTGATCTAACTCTCACTCTCTCATAAGTTCAATTATAAAGAATGTGTTAATACATTGCCAGCTGCCAGGGCATTTTTCTTGTAGAATAATAGCAGGAAAAGTTCAGAGAACATGATCGCCACAAGTCTCTAACCACCATAATTATAAAAATAATTTTTTAAAATGGAAAAAGTGTAGCCTTAGGAGTCATGTGGATTTTTGGGAAATATCATGTCTGTTTTTGAGACTGAGAAACATTCTATACAAGTCCCAGCTCTGTAACATCTTCAGCCAGCTGTCACATAAGCTAAGCAGAATGACATCCTTTACATCAAGTGTCATTTTCTCTTCAGTTCCTTACACTTAGGAAAAGTGCACTTTAATTTCTTCTCAGAGCCTCTCTAAAGAAAAGGTTACTCAATATTAGGACCACTGAAGTGTTACCTAAGAATATAAGGAGAGTGAAACTTCATAGTAAATCTGAAGGTTGCCCAGCCTTGAAGTTTCATTGTCTGCATAGTGTGAAGAATCTTAGAGGCAATGGTTAAGGACATTAATTTGTCTTGAGCCATTTAGTCTTACTGCAGGGCTTGGCTCTCAAGTTGGCAATTAGCACCACACAGACAGAAATGCTGGTCCTGGGGGCTGCTGGAAGAACTGCAGCACAGTTTGCATTTCTGATTTTTATTATTCTCATGTTGTCCCCAAGATCTTTGGCCAATCACATTATATTGTTGATCCAAAAATCCAAACAAAGACAACGAGTTAGAGATCTTAACAGTAATGCTCTCTGCTTTATACTTCTGAAACAGAAAAATCAAGAGATACTTCAGAAATACTTCAGTGGAGATACAGATGGAAGTGTTTTGTACACAGTCTGTCCTTTTTCTCAGTTTTCAGATGTGTAGAACTTGTGATTTACTAATCTACTTTGCACAGTTCTTCCAATATCTGACTTGTAACAAGTTCTATAAGATAAAACCAGTGTTCCTAATTCAACTTATCCTAGTATTAATGTTAGGCCTCTGAATTTGCAAGCTGGGAAGCTGCATTGCTATTCTGCTCTGGCAAAGTTTACTCATGAGCCCACATCACCTAATACAAATAAAGGCAATTGAGAAAAAAAAAAATACTCAATTCTGGCATCCTTGGAAAAAATTTGTCACCACAAACAGCACTGTGAATAATAACAATGTGCTGTCATGTTGCTATTTCACTGTTGCTCTATTTCCTTTTCATTTTCTGCTAAGGTGTCACCTAATGAGGCTTGTACCAGAGGAATAGGGGAGATATGAGGTTGTCATACATGGCTAGGAGCTGCTGAGTAATGCTTCCCTGAATACACTGATATTAAAGCAGGGTTGGAAGATGTAGTAGAGCCTTTCACAACTTGCTAAGCAGACAAAATGATAGTAGCATAAGCAGGGTTGCTTGTGTTCCGAGTTGGAGGATAGACCGTGCTGAATTCCAGTGCATCCATGGTTTTCATTAAGCTTTGTGTAAATTTTCATAGCTGGGTTTTGAGAAGGTCCCATAAGTTGTCTATTAAGTAGTTTAGATTTGTGGGCTATATATTCAGGATATGGGATTTTTTAATCATGCTTCAGTAGTGAAACATCAAAAAACAGTTTGGAAACTGTGCTCCTATGGAATGTTCTCTGTCAAATGGTTCTGTCTGTAACTGTAGGTTACATTATTCTATCATGGACTGTTTCATAGTAGGACTGAAAGCTGAGAGCTATACTGTGATTATATAGGGTTTATTTTACCCAATGCTTGTCTTATTCATGCTTCTTTAAGCTTATAAAACTTTGGTAGTATGACAAGTGTATAAATCTTCTACTGTACATAATCATTGCTTTTACAAAGGAGTGGACAAGCAGGGTATTTAGATTTTGTAGAAAATAAAGACAAGAAATTAAACTGAACGCATAATACAATAATCTGTGGTTTCGTGCAAGTGTAACAGTACAAATCAGGCAGTGTGAAGTTCTAGATGTGTAAGCTTTTTGCTGTAGCCTTCTCTTGTTTCTAGTCACAGTTATACTTTCTTAAGAGCACAAGACTGAAAGTCGCCCTGCTTTTGAGCTGAAGAGATCAGAAGTCTGCTGCTAATTTTTGTTTTCCATTGCATGTAGGGAGAAAAGTTCACTGGACAGTTTTCAGGGCTGTTATTCCCAATAGGAAGAGGCTTTGACTGTATTAAGGCCACGTTTATAACTCATTCCATCCCAGGGGTGCTCACGTTGTTTTCTTAGCTGGGTCCTAATACTGGAGTACTCTCACATGCAAGGTTACTCTGAGCTCAGCATCCGTTCTTAAGATGTTAACAATGATTTGGCCGTAGTAACTGGCGCTCTGCAAGGTTTTATGGTCTGCTGCTGTTTTGCATATTACCATTATGGGTTGGCAAGCAGGGCTTTGAGACTCATGGGGTGAAGCTAATCCCTGCTTTTGCACTCTTGCAGAAATCTTGGCAGGACTTTAGGCTATGAAGAGAGATGGATGGAAGAGAAGGGTTGGGGAGAGGCTGGAAACAGCATTTGAGACTCTGCTGGGAGTCTTAATACTGGCAATTTGTGTTCAGTGTGATAAAGTGGAAAAAGTGCTTGTTTAGGAAAGCTGACAGGAGAACAGAAAGGTAAACTTTGCTGCTACAGATCAGAACTCCTTCCTGATGCTTTGTCTGGGTAGGCTTAGCTTACTATTTTAGAGCAAACAAAGCAACATTGCTTTGTAATGCCAGAGAAGTAATAGAGCGCTTCCTGTGCTTAAAATTCAATTCTACATTCCCTGCAGAAATGCACATGGTTTTCTGTGAAACAAATACAGTTCAACATGTTTGGTATTAATATTATCGGCTTCTTGCTGTTTGTATGTATTTCTGTGCCAGAATAATTTTATACGAGAAAAATATGTCTCGAAAGCTTTCATACAGATGAAAAGCAATACTTTTCACTTGGAAAAGGCCTCCAAAAACTCATGGGGTGTTCTGTGCTGTATCCCAATCTATAACATGACAGTGATTCAGACTGAACTTCCCAAATTGTTTAGCTCCTTGCCATACACCCACTAAGCCCTTTCGGTGGGAGAGTTTTCGTTTGTAAATCCAGGATGCCAAAGGAGATCTTTGATGGGAAAGAGAAGTATTTTGAGTGGCAGACTGTGAAGGTGAATCTACATGAAACAACGGGACGCTGACTGAGTGAGTCACTAAGCAAAAGGTGCTATTTATGCCTGAAGATAATAGTGATATCTTTATCTATTTATTTATTTACTTTTGACAGGTCTTTGATATTCATTCACCACTGAATACATCACAAGTGAGTAGGTTTGGCACTTGGAAGTCAGGACAGGGAGCTCAAAAAGATAAGGTAATATGTTGTGACAAGATGAGTGATGTTTTGGTAGGTTAGGAGAACATTACTCCTGCAGAGTAAAACCGACTCTAAACAGAATCCTTTGCAGTCACCACTTTTGCATACCTGATTAGGAAGGGGAAAAAAAAAAGTAAAGCCTTTATTCATACCTAACCAATATGTCATTATGGGACATAATTCTTTCAGATGTATATTAAGATGTATATTCTTTAAGATGTATATTAATTTATCATGAAGTCTAGCATTCATGATATACAGGAATGGATGCGTAACAAGTCAAAAAATATAAATGCCAACAAGCCAAGGTCTCAACTGTAGGTCAGGATGTTTGGGTGTCAGGCTCTTGGTATCTGAATCTAAGGAGCTCCACAAGCACAAAAGATAGCAGGGCTCTAATCGTGACAGTAGATCTCATAAGGAAACCAGATGGTTTTGTGAAAAGGCAAGACATGTGGGAAGGCACCTGGAAGACTGAGGAGTAATATATCCCTCTGAGGCATCAGCATGAAAGTTAGTACCGGCTTGCTCTGCAGTCAAATAACTACTTTCTAAGAGAAGCACACATGCAACATATCTTGCCCGTTACTGCAAACTAAGATTTGCATCATGAAGATGCAGACCATTTCAATAAGCAGTAACTAATCTTAGTTCAAATAATTGGTTCCATTCCCTTATGAAGGCACACCCTGTAATTGCTGCTTCTCTTGATTTCAAAATCAGCTGCATCTTACTAAGTTTTGTATAGATGATGTTTTCAGAATTTCTTGTATGCTTTTACCAAAAGCATGCATCTCTTGTATGTTTTCCAGTATCAAAAAAACTGGATTGCAGCATGCTTTTTTCTAATTAAAATCTTGCCTATTTCTGGCCTCCATCTTACCTGACCAAATCTCTGATATTTCTTTTCTTCTTCTCATTCTAATCCTTTGGAGCAAAGCATTTTTCTATTGGTCTTTATTGCAAACCATTGTCATTATTTTTGTCCATGATTGGCCAGATTTTTTTCTAACTGTTTTAAAAAGAACATCGCTTTTGTGGGGGCTGGCATTTCAGGGTGCTTATTAGTTCTGAAACTGTTTTAAATGTTGGTTTGTTTTTTTTCTCTCATCTTAGGTCTTACACTTCACAGCACGGCAAGTGTTGCAAGTGGGGGAAAAATGATTCTTCTAAATGTTCCCTGTGTTCCTCTAATGGTGTCTATACGTAGTTATTTGGCAAGGTAATTATAGCTTGAGTATGTATTAGGGAGATGTGTTTCAATTAGTCTGCTCAGATAGGAGTAGAAATTTAGCTAGAGCAGTGTAGGCTGTGCAACGTACCAGGGGCTCTCAGCAGATGAATCCATAGTCACTGTGGCTGTGCTGCTAATGCTATGACCGGTCTATTGGTTTCCAGCTGGACAGAACTTCTTGAGCTGCAGGCACACTTGGAGTTTACAGGCAGCTGTATGTATGCCTGGAGTGAGATGTGTCTCAGCACTAGCAGGCCAAAGTGCAAGGCATGTGGAAACTGTAAAGGCATTTTCTCAGAATTTTGAGATTGCAGAGGTTTCAGTTTGAGCATCGTGGCTGCACTAATGGTCCTACAAGTATCATCTTCAATACAACATTGTCCTACAGGTGTGTTCAACAATGCACGTCTAGGTATAGGCAAAATTACAGACAGGTTTGGGAGCAAAAAGGTTTGTTTGCATGCAGGTAGCTTAGCAGAAATGTTGTGAATGTGTGCCTCTTACTGGAACTTCATTTCCAGTTTACCTTGTGAATGAGCTACTTCTCTGCACGTAAAAGAATCTCCTCCAGAGGGCACCATTGGTTCAAGCACGACATACAGGGTGCAGTTTCATCTTTTTTTTATTTCCTTTGTAGTCTACTGACACGAAAGATTAAAAGCCTCCTAAATGATTTTCAAATCCAGTTAAAACGCTGTAGAAGGTAAAGGATCTTCAATTCTATGATTTTAGTATAAAGTAAAAGTAGATATTTAATGTCTACAGCCAGCATTTTAACTTTCACTTAAAATAGGACCGTAGTAAACCAAAAAGGTTTGTTTATTCAGAAACTTGCTTGGTTTACCTGTTTCACTGCCCTTTTTATTTCTTCTGCAGCTACTATTTGTGTGCGTGTGTCAAAATTGCACGAGTAAAATCAACTGTCACTGTACAGCACATCATGGATTTCCTGCCATGTCCAGTTAAGGACTGCGATACGTAAGTTGAGCAGATTCATTCTAAGAGTGACAAATGTGATAATTCTCAGGAGATTCCATCTGGTAATTTACAGAGAGCTTCCTGTCCGCTATCTTCTCAGTTTCCCAAACCCACGATAATTAAATGAACTGCAATTTATCTCGAAACCCGTATGCTACTAAATTTCTCTTATTCCTTCTGGAGTAACAGCCGGCTTTCTCTATTATTGTATTGTTATTAAGCACTGGGCTAATTATTCTTCAAAGAGAAGGCATATAAATATGATGATATCAGAAAGCAAGCCAAGAAAAAAATGGCAGTAAGAAAACAAAGTCACATTTAACCCCCATTTTTACTTTTGTATGATTGTCTTGCTGCAAGAGGATTTAGTGGATAGAACTGAACTACATCCTGGGCCCTGGAGTGAGAAATGCCTTCGAAGAACCAAGCCTTGTGTTCCTCACAAAAAGGATTAGCAGTCTCTGAATGCCTGACTAATTTCTTAACACGGTTCACGCCGCTATAAAGAAAAGTACAGCAGTTCTAATACTTCACTGCTATTTGCTTCCGCTTAACTGTATCAGGGAAGACAGAGGCAGTGAAAGAACGAACTAGATGGAGCTGAGACTAGAGCAGAGCAGTGCTGAAGTCAAGTCAGCTCGAATCATTTCCAAAAGCATACATCCACTCAGTGTAGAAGGATCAGCTCTGAAATGTGTATTAAAAAAAAAAGCCTCACAAGCTGGAGGCACGTCAGTCATTTTTAATGGAAGCTATGGATAAATTGGATAAAGTATCAAGGGTTCGGGTGCTAATAATTCCTGTGTCAGAGGTTACTTGTATGCTATTTGCACTATTAGTACTTGTGCCCTCTGCAACAGCTTCTGCTGCTCCACCAGCTGCTGCCTGCTCCGTGCTGCTCACGCACCACCTGGGGATGGAGGCTTCAGCTCCAGCAGGGATCTCATCAGAGTCAGAAGACCTCTTGATATTTTGAGATAATGATTATTATTAGTGCCAACACTCCTTTCGGGGGGACCGTCGCACTAAACTAAAGCACAAAATCGGCCATCCCCATTTGTTAATTAATTTTGTTTGTAAAATACTCCTCTGAGGGAGAGGGAATAAATGTTACCATTAAGGACTTAAATAGGCTTTCAGATGAAATACCATAACCAGCTGCAGGTCAGCAACAAACCATTCTTTGTTAAGGTGTTTTCCTTTTACAGAGATACAGACTTAACAAGCTGAATAATCTCATCCTTTTAAGGTAGACTGTTAAGGTGGACTACATCTGTGATCAAAAATACCCTACAGCTGAGAGCAGCAGAAAAGAACAAGCAATAGTTCTTTCCAACCGGCCATTCTTTTTAGTATAAAATGTTCTGAAGATAACTGTGAAAAGGGCTACAATATCCTCATGGTTCATATCTTACACCTTTTTACCTGCTATTAACATTGTAATCTTCAGCAAAAATAAACCCTATCTGGCCCACACAAGAGCACATAAATTTAAAGTATAACCTACCCAGGTTATAAAAAAATCAATCAATCAAACAAACAACAAAAACCTTGATATTTGCTAATACTATAAGCATTGCAAAATCAGTAGTGTGTGAAATTGCCTTAGAATAACACCCCCTGCAGCCCCCCTTCCCCCCAAAAGCTGTCAGCTTAACACAAGTCTGAAATCCTGAAATTACAAGGAGAAATTACTTTTTGGCCTAACTGTCCTCTGACCTTTAAGCCACCAGCACACCATGCTACGGCCTTAACTCAGATAACCTCAACTCAGACATTTTGTTAGAGTATTGTTTAAATATCCTTAAGAACCCTGATATTACATAACCAACTTACAAAATATATGGAGAGTTTTGTAGGTATATCAGGCACCACAAGAAGAATCTTCCTAGGGAAGATGGAAAAATATTTGGACGTTGGAAAGGAATATGCAGGAAACAACTGTTGACACAGTGGTTCAGAAAAGTCTGAACAAAATAAGCAAATACGTCACCGTAGGTTATAGCAGAAGAAAACCAACTCCCATAGAAACTACCTGGATACAATTTTTAAAACTAAATGGGTAAAAAATGTCAGAAGATATGTGGCAGGGGAATAGCTATAAAGTTCAGTTGTTTTTCACGTATGGCAGTGGTCGTGCTGTTTTTAATTGCTTCTGCTTAACATCATGTTTTTATTCAGTATAACAGTGTAACAGCAGATACTGAACTGACTGCATACATAATAGGACCCTTGGATTTCCCTCTCAAGACTAGTCATAGTTTATAGAAAATAACTATATACCAGTAGTAGACATGATACAAGACAAGATATGAATGTGCCATTAATTGTGTGCAACCAAAAAACAGCCTCAGCATTTACTGTGATTCACTAAACCTCCTCTGAATCAATGATCTAGATTTTTGAGGCGCCTCTACAAACCTTTGTGGCGTAACATTTTCCAGACATGGACAGAAATAGGTAAGAATTCCAATTTTGTATTCATCTTCAATTAAATGGAGTTCACAATTAAAGTGGTGACACAGTGAATTGAACCATCTGGATGTAATGCAAACAAAGGGTCCTTGCAGCTAACAGTGGCCTCTGAAAAAGGTGTGAATGAGCAGGCTGCTCCCAGTGCAAGAATGAGCAGGCTGTTCCCACCCTTGCAAGAAGCTTTATCAGGAATGCTACCTAGTAATTTTATTACCTTTTTTATTATTATTTTCCAGCAGTATTTTTCTTGACATTTTATTTGCCTTTTTAATGTAGTGATGTAAAAGAGTAACTTGTGTTTTCTTGATCCACAAACACCTTGACAGATTTTTACAAAGTCAAAATAGGTCTTTCTTAAAAGCTTTTAATTGTTTCATAAGCAGTTCATACAGAGAAAAGCTGTTATCAGAGGTAAATAATTTTACATATACCCAAGGGTAAAATCAGATATGAAAATGAATAGACAATCCTGAGGAATTAGCTGAAAGAAGAGATTTGGACGGAGTATTATTCTACTAACAATTACATTCTTAGCATTGTGTATTTTTAATTCTTATGTGCATAACCAAGCCTGAAAGCAAATGAATCAAGCACAAAGTACTCCATCCAATTCGTTATTTACTGACCTTGGGAAGATCCTGTACACCAGTTTCAGCTGATGAGGAATGCCTCTCTAATGAGACATGCTAACATGAAAGGTGACCCAGGGCTCTGCGTGAGATGGAGCTAATAACTTCTGCTGAGCTGATAAATATGGGTTTCACGCCAGCGTTGCCCAAGCTAGTGGGGTCAAGTGACACTGTGGCTGCAAAAATATGGATGAAAGAAAGGAGGCACCAACAAGAGTCCAAGGCAAAGGGTGGGGAGGCAATTACCAGAAACGTGGTGCTGGATGAAGCAAAGTAAACGATGTCATAATAAAATGAAACTGAGGTAAGTGGATTTTGAAGAGGTAAATAAGTCTTTCACAGGGGATACAAAACCCCTTCTGTTTTGTTAAGCTGAATGGTGAGAGTGCTCTATATGGAAGGAAAACACTAGGGAAGCAAATCAGCCCAATGTTTTTGTGCATTAGGGATCTAAAATGGCGTAGCGCTGCTGATATAATTATGTTGTCTTGCTTTTCTAGCTACCTATCTGCATATCCTAGCGGTAATTGCCAACAATTATGAGACTGGGCTGCACTTTGCTGCTTCTCAGAGGGGATGCAGAGCATGCCCTATAATTCATCTTCCTGACCCAGTTCAGAAGAAACACCGCTTGCACTGGCAGGAACTTCTTTGACAGAAGGCATGTCAGCAAGAGCCTTTGCTCTGTCTCACTCCACTGGCCACAACAGAAGTTAGTACCAAAGCCCTTGTCTTGATAACTGCTGTTCTTGCCATAATGCTTAAGGCTTGCTTTAAAAAAAAACAAAAAAAGTATTTTCTGTGCATAGTAAATAGCAAAGGGAAGAACGTAGATGACACTAATGGACGTTCTTGTAGTTAGACAAAAGTCTAAATGTTCACAGATAAAGGCTTTATTGGCTAAACAACAAAAAGACCTGAATTAATATAATTCTAAGTTCAACTGAATAATAGGGTAATTTTTGCTGTACATTCTTAGCTGTCTAAGCCTACTGAAATACCTACGAATGGTAATGCAATTTTAAAATCCAAAGAGATGTGTTGCTATTTCTGATCAGACCAGCTGACTTGCCACAGTAACATCCTTCCTGCCAGTCCAACCAAATGAACAGGAACAAAAAGTCCTAGGTGCCTCTTTCTTCAGATGAACAACAATATTAAATATAATGCTTCCACCACCCCCTTTGCAGTTTAAATACCAACATAGCTTAAGTAAATTTATACTTAAAAGGATAAAGTAAATAGTCCAGGGTGTCGTTCAGTGAATTAAAGCTGACATTAAATCTGGCTCTACATTTGCAGTTCTATCCCTGTCAACTTATGGCATTAAGTTCTCTTGATTTTCTTCAAATGCGGTGCATTTAAAAAATTCTAATTGTAATTCAGTAGGAAATTATGGATTCAGTATCCACACGACTAAAAAAGAATCAGTTCGATCTGGATGCGTTACCTACAGATGTCTGGAAATGGTAAATATCATTTTTTTGCAATTAGCATTCTGCCCCATGGAAAGTCTTACACATCCATATTAAGGCTGATGCAGAGGACAGTTCTATATTGCAGATACTCTTACAAAATCTTCTCTGACTGCCATTTTGATACCTACTTCTTGGTACAGTTAGACAAAGCTGTAAAATGTCTGTTCTCAAACAAACAAATAAAATGGACAACAGCCATTCTCCTCAAGCCTCTCCTGTTTTATTCTTCAGTTTTCACTCAAAAATACCATCCTTCTGAGGTGACTAACAGTTCTTACTTGGAAAGTTCCCTTACAGTTGACAGGAATTTTGGTCACTCAAAGATACTAAATCTTGAACTGTTCTGAAATTTCCACTTCATTTTTCATGCCACAGAAGGACTTCCCCTTCTTTCCACTCCTGTCAAAGCAACTTAGGCTAGTGTAGTTCCTGGGACCTTTGGAACTTCCTAGCCAGGCTCAACCCCTCTGTGCCCTTACTCTTCATGCTGCTGTCCCACCTGTTCCTTGGTTTGATAGCATAACAGATTTCTCTGAGCACAAGCGTAAGAACCAGCAAGGTGAATGTCCTCACTATCTTCCAATGTCCAATGGCCACGGTCCTACTAAATCAGCCCCAGCATCCACACTTGCTTCCTTTTGCACACTTGCTTCCTCAGATTAAGGCTTCTGTTTTGCCTTAATCTGAAGTTTTGTGAGGTCAGGCAAAGGTGTAGCAACCTGGCAGTGCAGATCTGTATGGGAAAGCAGCAGTGAGAGCTCTCTTTGCCACCTCCTTCCTTTGCTTATGCACAAGAGGAAGAGAAAACCGCTGTCTCTTGCTTCAGCTGAAGATGAGTAGGTTGTTTACATTCTTCTCAAAAAGCAATCCCCCCCCTTAGTTCAGTGTGGGCAGGACCCATCAGAAATCTTTTGACAAAGTCTGATAAGGTAATAGAGGCAGTAAGCAGATAGTTAGGCTATGGTGCAGTCTGTGTGCAGACTTGAGGCTTCACTCTGTGTTTCTGATACTCTTTCATTTTTCAACAACATGCATAGGAAATTAAGCTAAAAAAAAATCAACACATCATGAAACAATACTGCAGAACTTGCAGAACTGGGGATCTACATACAGATATGTTTGTAATTTCAGCGTCCTCAGTGTAGAATCTTTGATGTGGTGTCAGTGGAGATGCAGTACAAATGGGACAGGGATACTTTACCTGTACGAGAACAAACAGTACACTTCAAGCAGAGAGGTTAATCTCTAGATCTGCTCTTTCAAATGTAGTGGGCTGCACACACATTTAAATACTGGTGGGTCTGTTTCAGAGGATGGAGTTGCAGAAACACAAGATTGTTCTCTCTGTGTATGTAGACATACTGTTAAAAATAGGAATTTTTACAGTTCCAAAATATTAGTGCACATATACTCCTCGAAAGATTCAATCAATTTAATTATGGTAATTTAGTATTTCTACTGTTTATTCTCTCAAAGTCAAATAATCATTTAAACTATCTTACCAGATCTATTGCAGCCAACATATATTTTACAAGGAGAAGATTGAGATGAAATTTCAAACTCAGTCACAGTAAAGGAGGGCTGTACGCGTCCCAGTTAAAGCTGAAAGCTTGGAGCCCCATCTTTAGGAGGTGTGAAGTGTTGACAGGATAAGCAAAGATGGGTTCAAACTTCAGGTGGCCAACTGGTTTGCTGAGGAGTGGTACCAGCCTGAGTTATACCTCTCTCAGTGCTTGAGATCCATCGTGGGGACAGGGGCATTGGAGGGAGGCAGTTTTCAGTCAGCTCACATTTTAGGACATAAGCAGCCACCAGCTTCCAGCCTTCTCTATTTCTGGGTCAGATAACCCAAGCTGCCAACTTCCTCAGTTGGCACTGAACTATAACAACAAAATTCCTGGATTTATGACTTCATCTTATTGTCATCAAACTTGCTTGTATGTGTCCCCAGATAAACAGTGGTAAAGCAATACAGACTAAAATACAAGCTGCAGATAATAGGGATGCTGAGTAGCCCATGGAAGTGGAGCCACGACTTCTAAGAATTTCCTAGATTAATACTGCTGAGGATCCGGACAGCTGGGCTAAAAAGGAAGCTGTCCATATTCAGTTTGGGATCAGAAAACAAAAGAAAAAAATAACTTAAAGTGAGGCCTATAGAAGTAAAAGAAAAGGCTTCAGCAAACATTTTCCTGTCTGATGACAAACAGTCTCCCCTTTCTCAGATGGCTGCCTTTTAAATAACCGGCTTGCATCGTGGCAGCTGAACAGAAGGAAATAACTGAGCTTGTCCAGGAGAGCTGCAAATGGGTCAGGCCTGGCTACACCAGTTTGTACAATCAGCATTCCTAACATCCACAGGCATCCTGCTGGTACCCAACAGCTAGGCATGCAGGCGATGAACAATGAATGAACTGAAGAGCTGCTAGCTCATCCAGTTTCTTGCAGCTATTACTATACGGTGAATGGCTCCCCAATCAGCAGTTCATTGTGATTGCAGCGTATACCTGAAAAAGAGGTGAATGCTCTCATGCTTAGCTTGACAAAATGCAAGCTACAGAAACGATAAAGGGACAAAGTGTTGTGGGAAAATATTGCTGGTAGGTGGATGGTTGGACCGGATGGTTTTGGTGATTTTTTTTTCCAACCATGGTGATCCTATGATTCTATGGATCTAAGTTAAGCGTTCCAAAAGTCTTTAAGCAAAGCGTTATCTCAGCGTTGTGCAAACTCGGTATAAAACGTTCAGGAATTCAGGAACCAGCTGGTGTTATTAACATACGACTGCCATATTGGCTACCAACTCCTTCTAGCCAACCGCTCTCACCAAAGTCATTATTGACTAATTAGAGCCCACAAGAAACAAACTGATGAGCCAGGGAAGTTCCACAGCACTGCACGCACAAGTGCACACTGCAGGCTGCTGCCAGAGACTGCAGTTGGCCATTCAGCCTTTCACAGAACCGCTTTTGTGGCTCTTTTGAAGGGCTGGTAGTTCGCTGGCAGTTATTCTACCCACGGATCACCGGCTCCTTGTTCCGATCCAAGCCTGCGGACGTTCCCTCGCCTGTTCTTTGTTTCACACCGGGACCGCGTTCCCTCCGCCGCACCGCGATGCCCGCGCGTGAAGCCGAGGGCGAAGCGCTGCGCCGCTCGGTTTTGTGCGGCGCGGCGGCAACGCGCTTTGTCAGCGGCGCCCACCGCGCACCGAGCGGCCGCGGCCCCGCGCGCTCCCGAGGAGTGCGGCGCCGGGGCGGCAGCAGCGGCGGCAGCGCAGGACAATGGCTCGGTGCCGCCTTCGCTCGCCGCCGCTCCCCGCGCTCTCCCCGCCGCATCCCCGGGCGGCGCGGCCGTGTCCGGGCTTCACCTCCTCGCAGCTCTCCTAAGGAAGCGCTCCATCCCCCATTTTTTCTCCGCAAAGGCATTTTGTCGCGATTCCCCACCTTCTTTCTTCCTCCT